GGGCGCCGGAGGCTTTTTCATAGAGTTGCAATGTGTGGAAAGCGTGTCGGACGGATTCCTCGTCCGTAAGCAAGAGCGAGGTGTCATCCGCATATTGAGAGAGCTTAATTTCCTCCTTTGAACCGGGTGGTAAGAGGCCGTGAATATCTTGATTTGCGCGGATGTGTGTGGCCATTATTTCTGCCGTTATGATGTACAGCGGGGTGGACAATGGACAACCCTGTCTCAGTCATTAGTGCGTTATGAATGCACTTAACCAACCATTGGCTTTGACACTACTCATGACGTTATTGTACAAGAGTTTAATCCATTTGATGAACCGTGGTCCGAAGCCGAATTTAGCAAGAGATTTGAATAGAAAGGAATGGGAGACTCTATCGAAGGCCTTGAGTTGATCAATTGAGACGAAAGCAAGTGGAGTATCGGTGTCGTTTGCGTAGAGGATGGCATCACCAATAATGCTGGCGTTATCATTGATAGTGCGCGAAGGAATGCAAGCAGTTTGGTTTGAGTGAATAATAGTGTGGAGGACGGAGGTCAGGCGGTTTACAAGGGCTTTGGTCAATATTTTGTAATCTGAGTTAAGGAGGGAGATGGGGCGCCATTGGGAGAGTCTGGTGCGATCGCCTTTCTTTAAGATTAAAGTGATCACGGCTCGTCTCTGCGAAAGGGAGAGCCCCCACTATTGAACGTATAATTGTATATTGCGGTTAGCTCAGGCGAAAGGATATCCCAAAAGTGTAAATAGAAATTAGTTGTCAGTTCGTCAAGGCCGGGTGATTTGTTTAGCTCGATGGACTTAATTGCTTTGGTGATTTCGGTTGTGGTAATTAAACCTTCGCACTTATTCCGGTCTTCTGGTTTAAGAATGGGGGTTGCGATATTAAGAATTTCTTGTTGAGCTTGCTCGTCAATCTGTTCGGCTGAATAAAGTTGTTTATAAAAGTTGCGTGTTTCGGCGAGAATATCTGCGGCTGTATCTAAATTATCTTTCGTGAGGATTTTAATAGTTTGATTTGCCTGTTTGGTTTTTTCTAAGCTGCAGAAGTATTTCGAGCTGTTTTCATCAGGCTCAGTGTGACGAGGTTTCGTTCGAATTTTTAGTGCTTGGATTTCTGTTATTTCGAATAACCGGAGGTAATTTTTGGCACCAAGAAATTTTTCGATGTGGTGGGGTGTACCGGAAGTGGATTTTTCCTTCCAATAAGCTAGTTTGCGTTCAAGATTGAGGGGGTGTGCTTGGGAGGTTTGTCTGAGTTTGGATGCGTGCGAGATTGCGATTTGTTTGAAATGGAATTTTGCCTTATCCCGCCAAGTGAGCAAGTTAGCAAAGTCGTATGTTTTTGTTAGCCAGTTTTGCCAAAAGGCAATGAGGTCAGCATGAAAGGCAGCGTTGTCTAAAAGGGTATTGTTGAAGTGCCAAAAGCCTTTTCCTCGGGGTGTGTTTGACAGGTCAAGCTGAACTAAAATTAGATCGTGGTCTGAATGTGGGTAGGGTGTGATATCACTTTTCGTGATGAGATGGGAGATGGATTGGGGAGTATAAAATTTATCTATTCGCGTTAGTATCGGGGACTGATCTGTAGGATTTTTGCCGGTCCATGTGAACGTATAGGAGTGTTGGTGTTGTTTACGCCATATGTCGATGAGATTGTTTTGCACAAGAAAATTATTTAGTTTGGCGGCGGCTAATTGGCGCGCGAGTGGGTTTCCGCCTCGATTGTCCATTTTGGCGTTGGCTATGCAGTTAAAGTCTCCGCCAAAGATATTGGGATGTTGACCCGAGAGAAAGGGGTCAAGATTTTGGAAGAAGGTTGCGCGTTCAGTGTCAGAGCGAGGGGCATAAATGTTGGTTAGGTTAAAAGTGTGGTCTTCTAAGGTGATTGTGGCCGATGTAATTCGTCCGTTGGTGTCAGATTTGATATGTTCTATTGTTAGATCGAGGTGAGAATTGAAAAGAATTGCGACACCCCTGGAACTTTTGTCCCCGCATGATTGGATACATTTACCGTTCCATTCATGTTCTATAGTGGTTGTCATGTCGTCCGTCCAGTGCGTTTCTTGAATAGAAATTATATCTAAATGTTTGCGCTGGAAAAAAGTAAAAGCGGAACTTCGTCGGTCGGCCGAGCGAAGACCTTGAGCATTGATAGTAGCTAAAATGAATGTGTAAATTAAAAGAGGGGAAAGCAAACCTGATGTAGAGCGTCCCATAATTAATACTGTTCTTGTTGAGAGTGTTCAGAATTATCTTCGCCGGTTGCAGGTTCCTGTTGTTTCTCATTCGTTTTGGATCGTGTGCCTTCGAGTTTAGGCGTTGGTTTGAGGCGCTGGCGTCGGGTTTTAACGCGGTCTTCATCTGAAGAGGTATTTAGCCCTTTGGTGCCTGGTTTGTGGAGGTCTTTTTTCTTCTGGTTGTTGTGGTGTGAAGTAGCTTGGTCTTGTTCCATGTCGGGGTCATCTGTGGGGTCTTCTGGGTCATTTTCAGCGTCGAAAAATTCCTCGTCGAGTTCCTCGGCGTATACAAGGTCTGGCTGCTTGTGGCGGTCGCGCAGAACACGATCGGTTTCAGCCTCTTGGCGCAGGAGTTTTTCGGTGTGCATTCGGCGTTCTTCCTCATCGATTTCGGTTGCGGTTGGTGTAGTGTTATCCGTAGGGCGATTAGGGCAGTTCTCCCTAACGTGGCCCGTTTCGTTGCACGTAAAACAAACGACGGTGGGACATTCATTGCGTCGGTGTCCATCCTCATGACATAAGCTGCATATGGGCTTCTGGTTAGTGTGTATCACACGACACCATTCGCCTTCTATTTTGAGCGAGTATGGCACGCTTGGCTTTGTAAGAACCATGCGTAACAAGCGGTTTCCATTTTCCACTCCTGCTAGATCATGACCTTTCTTGTATTTAAGTCGAATGACTTCCGATTTAATTTCTCCGAACTTTTCCAGTTCCTTGATGATCGAGGTATCTTCGATATAGGCGCGAAGGCTCATAATAGATACATTAGTAAACTGTCCTTGCGGCGGACTTGGTTGAACGTGGAGGTCGTTTATGCCAAATCCATCGCTGATCAGTTGCTCCGCTTGGTCTTTGTTTTGTAGCTCGATTAAATATTCTCCGGACTGAAGCTCTTGGACGACTGTAACACCTCCAGAGCCAAGATCTTTTTCGATCACATCACGAATGGCCGCCACGCGCACGCCGGCCGGTGAGCGAAAAACTAAACTTTTCGCTTTGCGACTCGCCATCGCGGCGGATCGCTCTAAAAAGCGGATAAAACGCTAAAGAAACACTTTAGACTTGAAGATCGAGAGATTGCAGGCTAAAAGGCCCACTTAAGGCGGCGAAATCCAAGAATTACGACAGAGCTCCGAAATAGTGAGGTGTGATGACCACTACACTATCAGGACAACCATGCTGGCAACACGGCAATCGAAGATGTGATTTACGTAATCGGAGACGTGGTCTCCCGCGAAACTTAATTTTCAAGGTGACAGGGTAGGGGAAGCCTATAACCCCATATGAAACCCAGCTAAGGATCTATTAAAGATACACGACCGAAGTCAACTTAGCGGATGACAAAGGAGGATCCAATTACGGATACAGGCTAATTTCAATTAAACAAATTCTGTATACGAGAGAAACTCTGACCCTGTACACCCCAAGAAATCATACTTAAATAGAACAGATGTTTGAAAAGGAAATTTGCCCTGAGCGGGATATATTTAACAAATGGTAAACACCACAGCGTACACTATTGAGTTATGGATGCACTTGGGAGGTTGCTAAGCACGAAAGAAGCGTAAGAGTCGCTCGAGGCGATAGCCGAGGATTAGATTACATTATGGGATATATGGATGAATTACTGCATACTATAACGAGCGGAGAGAATTTTTAAGCAAATAATAGCTAGCTTTATATAGCAGCCTAGTAGAATTGGCGGCTGTCTTCCACAAATAAGATATTTGCGTATTTTCCCTGTTAAGTTTTGATGTATATGGTGACCCGATTTCTAACAATTTATTGTGTAAACAGTAAGAGTCAACATACGTGGAATCTTCTTTCCAACAAGGGAGTCATCCCCACACCTCTTAACATTGACAGTGTCTAGATGCTCGAAGACAGCCAATGCTGACTGCACATTCCTCGGAAATGCTCGATCAGATTGAAAACAACACAGGTCACCACCCTGGAAAACAAAAATGTGTGGCTTTACGAACACTAAAAAATGTTCAGGATGGTCACCATATCACGTGCAACTTGGTATGTTGATCCATTCAGATACAACCAGAATTCCTCTTTATAGATTACTAACTATTTAGTCATTAAATCTAATTGTTTCTTTGTTCATTAATATNTATATATATATATATATATATATCGAAGTCTCCTCCCAAACATTACAAAAATAAGTTGCATCAAAAAGGCTTCGTCTGCTGAGTGATATTAGATTCAGTGATTTTGTTCTGCTTTTAGAAATCTCTTTGTGAGTCGATTGAAAGTATGAATAGGGTAAGGAGTTCCATATTTTAGGTCCCTGGAAAACCATAGAAAATTTTTTTACGAGCGGTATGACAAACGCATAGGCGAGACTGGTAGAAGAGTCGTAGAACTTTGTGTTTTCTCGTTCAGTAATGATGGATTTGCAAGTTTGAAAACTGCATCATCCGCAATCGTCTAGCAATTTTTTAATGGCAGCTTATTAGGGGTTCCGTAATCGAACAATACACTTTCGAAGTAAATAAATTCTTTGCACATTTGTGACATAGGTTAAGACCAGGATTAGATTACATTATGGGATATACGGGTGAATTACTGCGTACTATAACGAGCGGAGAGAATTTTTAAGCAAATAATAGCTAGCTTTACATAGCAGCCTAGTAGAATTGGCAGCTGTTTTCCACAAATAAGATATTTGCGTATTTTCCCTGTTAAGTTTTGATGTATATGGTGACCCGATTTCTAACAATTTATTGTGTAAACAGTAAGAGTCAACATACGTGGAATCTTCTTTCCAACAAGGGAGTCATCCCCACACCTCTTAACATTGACAGTGTCTAGATGCTCGAAGACAGCCAATGCTGACTGCACATTCCTCGGAAATGCTCGATCAGATTGAAAACAACACAGGTCACCACCCTGGAAAACAAAAATGTGTGGCTTTACGAACACTAAAAAATGTTCAGGATGGTCACCATATCACGTGCAACTTGGTATGTTGATCCATTCAGATACAACCAGAATTCCTCTTTATAGATTACTAACTATTTAGTCATTAAATCTAATTGTTTCTTTGTTCATTAATATGTTTATAGGATTTCGCAATAGAATATCCCTTTTTTTGTTCATTTCCATGCAAAAATTCCAATGCAGCTATAGCGAGATAACTTACATATGACAGAAAGCCACCTCAATATCAATCACATTAGGTGTGCCCCTATACATTTATAAACTCACAAGTATGATAATTTTCGTAAAGCCTTACCAGTAATGGAACCCTTTGCGGTGTGACACTGAATTCAAAGTGCTCTTCTTCTGGGGGCAACGTATCATCTACAGAGCATCATTGAGATTAAAAAAAAAACGAATATGCAGTTTCTGTAAATTCTCGCTAGTACGTTAATTGCCTTCTCCTCACGCTTCTTGCTCAGCCAATTTAAAATCACTCATTCGATTAGTTAGATTACTTCCTGAATTTTACTCCTAACGACTACTTATCAATGCAGATGTGTAAGAATTTACGAGGACACTCTGAGTAATTAGTTTCCAGCTTCACACGAAGGTGCAACCATGGTTTATAGTCTCTCACCTAAGGACAAGTTGTGACCAAGCTCAGAAATACCGCTAGTCGTATTGCTGTGATCGGCTGAGCTGTCAGACATCTGTTAAAAGAAACAATCGTAAGGTCACGTAATGACAGGCTTAAAAATAGTGATCTAACATCTAACACCCATCTTGTTGTGCTTAAACGATATAAGAACACTTTCAAATCAAACTCTTCTACCTTTTGATTATTTACATACAAATCTACAAAAAACTCTATTGGACTTTTATACATGATACTTTTTATTCCCCTCTAAAAAAAGTACTTCCTTTAAAGCTCCATTTTCACACTAAAATGCTCGTCTTCCTCTTGAACATGTCACTACAATGCTCAAATATTGTTCATTATACAGATACTTTTAAAACTTTATTCTTACGCCTTACCAGGGTGTTATAATGTGAAATAAAAGGTATAAGACAACGAACGGTATAACAACATGTCCGCCTTTTTGAGCATTGAGTCTTGAAGCCTAAAAGCGCTGACCTCTCCCCAGTCTCTGCTCAGCTGCATTAGAGCGGCAACCGTGACATTTGAAATTTGTTTGAAATTAGTTTTCTTTAAAAAAAATTATACCATCATTTTCTACAAAAGAAAAATGTTTTCCAGAAAAATTCTAGCAGAATGCACAAATAATGCTTAGTGCTCTTGCCTAACTAAAATACTCGAAACAGACTATTTCCTCTGAAATTTATTCAATATTTATTTTGTTCTCAATCTGTAGGATTCAGTTTCCAGCAATTAATGTTTCTATCATGAGACGAGTCGGCTAGTATGGTCTTCTTAATACCAAATCTCACGACTTCCCATACACCATTAGTTTATGGATAAATGCAGCTTATTCATTTTTCATCAGTTCATGGAGTGAAATATTACCTCAGGAGAGTTCAACAAGAATCCTTGTTCAGGGGGTTGTAAATTGCTGATTTCTGAAGTCCCTGCAGTTGAAATATCATTTATAGTTTTAATTTTCTTTTTACATACTTACGTTCTTTTAATTATCATTCTCATTTTTTTACATGGGCTGATCAGAATTACGCACCCGTCTTGATTGCCTGTTGTAATCTATTGACGATTAACAATCTTCTCTATCACTGTAAACGGAAAGCGTCAAGCGCTTTAAAGGTACAAAAGATACTCAATATGGACAACATTCAATATTTCTCTGATCGAAACGACATAGAGAGTTGTGCATTTCTTTTCTTTCTTTCAGAAAAGGTATAACACTATCAATGTACCTACAGAAATGTCTCGCATGTGCACATCCGTCTTACCGTTTTGCTACGAATATGGGTTTTTTATCATTTCAACTTTAAGTCAACGTAATTATTTTACATACCTGTGTGGTCATTATCATCTGTCATTGTATGGTCGAAAAAACCCGGCATCTGAAAAATTAGAAAGAAAACATGCTACTGTAACAGGTAGCAACAAATAAAAGCAAAGAAATTGAAATACGCACTGTTTAGCATGTCCAAAATCACAGGATGCACAAATTTTCTATCACTCTGACAGTTCTGTTAACTAAAGTCTACCTTGTAACGACTACCTCAATGACTACCTTAATAACTTAGTTTCGAAGTAGGAACACAAATACAATCTAAGAAAGATTTTCGATATAAATATCACTGGACCAAAAACGGAAATGGGAAGACTATCTTTTAAGCAGAGGGCAGCTATAGCTTGGAATTCTCTTTAAGATCGCATAAGGAAAGCTCCCTCTATTCCGAGTTTTCTGAAAAAATTGAACAAAAATAAGGGCATTCTAATGAAAATATCATATACGAAAGAGTCATCCATGATTATAAGGAAAGATGATGATTTTTTCTGTTTTTAAGCATACATCACAGTTTACATAATAACAACTTTTATATTTGTATTTTCAGATAGGTAATTAGTAATAGCTTTGATGTTTATACACTTGACATCCTTGTAGTTTTATATTTATAGATTTCCTGTCCAAATTGTGATTATAAATGTTAATTTAGCGTGCAGGTCCACATCAGGACTTATTGTCTTGCCTATTTTAGTAACCTGCCTTACCAAATAAACTTGTTGTTATTGTTGTTGTTGTCTATAACTAGTTTTGACAAAGCTAGGTACAATCGTAATTAACATTGATCATCATTTCAATTCCAACCAATACAAACACTTCGACTTGATTTTTAAACATACAATGAGCGCAAATATTTTTCGTGTTGCGCAGTATTTTTCTGAGCCCCGAAGGGATAAAGAAAATTGCGAGCAATGAACAAAATGCTCTTATTATGCCTTAAAGCATCGAATAACAGATCTATTATTCCACTATTTCAAGACTATTATTTCACTTTTTAATATTTATATTTAAGTTGATAGAATACGTCCTTTCGCATAAGGAAATTTGTCGCGCTTAAAAGTTTTTCTTTAAAAGTCAACCCTTAAAAAAAGGAATAAAAATAAAATAAAATTTTATATCGTTCAGTACGGCCATTTTTTGCTCCCTATTCTTGCTCTATCGTGAAGACCATATCATTTTTTGCGTACAGACGCTCCACTATTCATGAAATAGGGTTTAAAAGCGTAAAGCAAGTTCTTAGGGAAAGGCCTGACTACTTCGGAAATAAGGTAAAGGCAAGCGGCCAAACCAGTGAGCCATGACACGAAATAAGAATAACTAATAACGAAAACATTGTCGTCTTTTTACTTGTACATTATGAACAAATAATCGCATGATTTTTGTCGTGTAATTTGGGATAAATCAGCACTTGTAGATGTTTCAAAGACTACAAATTGCTCTCGACCTTCGGGTTCGTGCAATTTGGTTAGTCTTTGAAAATTTTACGCGGACTGATTTATCCCAAATTGCACTGGAAAACCAGTGAATACCTATACAAGCTCTATTATGTTTTTTTGTGTGTATGTGATATTGTGCACAGGTGGTTCTAATGCATTTGTAGCTAGACATGTAGGCATGGATGAATAATTGTAATTCAGAGCTGAACACTGAAAAAAAATTAATCAACATTTCATGAAATGGTTGATAAATGAATGTCTAATTGATACGCTAAGAGATGAGATGATCTTACTTCAAGCCATTCATCCACCATCATCGTTGTAAAGTCTAGACCTCTATCTGCTCAAAGTAAAAGATGTGTGCAATTTTCTTCAAAGAAAATATTTAAAAATGTTCCTCACGAGCACTGGACAAAGGTAACATCTAGTTCCTTCATAAGGGGCGAATAAAGAACTTTCACATTCCACAATGTGATTCTTTACAACTGAGTCAGAGCGAAATTGATGCTGAGCAGTGAGTGGACGATACACAAGGCTAACACAAACCAATAATTAATCTGATAAATTGCTGAGAAATACTTAAATCAATGCATATATCCTCAATGACAAATTAAAAGAAATACTTAAGATTCATATCTACCTGCAGGAGCTGCGTTTTGTGGTTCTGGCGTGCTAAAATTTGGGTTAGATGCCAGTGCCTCTAAAGATTCAGAAGGAATGGTGCATTCTGGCAATTGAAAGGCATTCCAGGGTTGCATGTTATTCTGAACCATGACTGTTGCACTTGACTCACCCAAGCTAGGTTGGTTTATGTTTGAAAAAGCCACTGCATTGAAATCATTAGAGAGAATTTCGTTTTAAGTTCTCTAATTGGCATAACTAACAGTAATATATTAATATGACTCAAGAAAGCGGTAGGAATCCATTCTTTTTATCAAAAAATTAAAATGCATTTTGATGAAAAGAGCTAACAAGTTTTTCAACTGTTGTTATAGGGTAATAACGGCTATTTCTATGTAAATCATGCAAGTCTTCCATTTAAGTAGATTTTTTATGTATGGTAAATCTATTTGAGACACATTTAGTACATAATATCATAACAACAACACACAAAATTTTTTTTTTGTTGATCTATAAATTGTTAGACATATACCACTGCATGTAACGGGAGTTGTACCCCCATTCTGAAGTACCTGCAGCTGCTACGTTTTGTGGTATTATCATATCAGCATTCGTGCAGGAAGATAGCCCTAGGAGAAGGCAACATTCTTGCATTTAAAAGTTATTCGTGGGTTGCAAACTACTTTGAACCATGATTGTTGCACTTGTATCACTCAAGGTAGATTGGTTCAAGTTTAACAAAGGAACTCAATTTTAAAAAAAGGGAAATGAAAAATTTTCAAGTTCATGGATGATGGACATAACCAACCACTTATATTTGACCCAAAATTAGAGTAAGGACACGTCACTTTTGTAAAAAGGCTGAATCAATAAAAGGCTCTCTCAAACTTTTTATACATACAGTCTTCAACACGAGTGAATATTTCTTGATTTAACTCCAAATTCTTAAAACTAGAATCAAAAGCAACATATCACGAGAATGGCACATCGAATTATTCATATTTAGATCTTGGGAGTGAAAGGGATATATATACACTACTATACATAAAAAAGTCTGATTTAAAACCCAATTTTGATTTACCTGTAGCTGTGATTTCTTGTGGGTTTGTCACATTAAAATTCGTACTAGCTCCTGATGGTCTCGGAGGGATGCTGCTCCCTTGGACTTGAAAGTCATTGCAGGGTTGCATGTTATGCTCAGTCATGATTGTTGCACTTTTACTAGTTGACGTAAATGTAGGTTGGTTCAAGTGATGCAGAGCCACTGAAATAAAGGCATGAGAAATAAAAACTGTTAGGTCGTTTGGTGGACATAATTAAACACTGAGTACCATGTAAAGAAAATACGTAACAGTTTTCCCCTCAAATTGGAGAAATTGCCATGCCATGCCCTACTATAAACCCTAATGCTTAGGCATTTAGGTGTCGTTACAGGGAAAAAACAGTTCCATGTAGATTGTGTTGGTGTACCATTCTAAAAGTATTTTATTTTTACATGTATGTATATATAGTAAATCTACAATAATCACGCAGACATGTTAATCTACATGATATCATATCTACAAAAGATATCATCAGTTGATCGACTAATTGTTATACTATGCTACTGAGAGTGGCGAGAGAGTGTGTTTAAGTAGAGGAATTATGCATCTTAAGTGTTACGTCCAATCTGTTGCTTGGACAATATAATATTTGACGGAAATACATGTATATAGGAAGAACACGTCACTTTTATCAAAAAGCTGTAGAGGTCCATCCAGGCGGAGGGCATCCCAATTTTCTTAGATGAAGCAACAAGCAGTATAGTATTACTACTCCCCATGGATGGGCTGCTACTCCACTGAAAGGTTGCCCCCCAGTATTTCATCGTGTTTTCTGGACAGTTAGCCGGTACCCATTACTACTCCTGGGTAGAGAAAGGCACTGTGAGAGTGACGTGTTTATCCAACACTTTGACCCAACCAGGTCTCGAACCCAGGCCTCTCTAGCAAAAGTCGAGTGCACTGACCATCAGGCCACTGTGTTTTCCACTTGGAGAATGTCCATTGCTAAATTCCTCGTTTTTCTGGTAAAGCTATGATGAGGTTTTGATGTTTTTCTACATGACACATTTATCATATCTACAAAAAGATGTTTTATCGGTTTATCTACCGATTGTTATACGTTGGCTACTGTGTATAATGGATCTTATGTAACCTGATTTGTATCTACCAGAATCTATCATGTTTCGTGGTTTTATCAAATTACAATTTGTGCTGGCTGCTGATGGCCTCAGCGGAATCTTAAATTCTTGCATTAGAGAGTCATATTGGGGTTGTATAGTATTCTGGACCACGGCTGTTGCACTTGATTCACTCAAGATGGGTTGGTTCAAGTTTGGCAAGGACACTAAATAAAAAAAAAAATGGGAAAGAAGAATTTCCCAGTTCATAGATGTGTAGAACCAACTATGTTTTCCTGATAAAAAGTTCACCTCCTGACATACTACAAATTCCTACCTAATGCTGAGTTGGTAAAGGCATCGTTGGCTACATGTGGTGATTCTTGTGGCACCTGAAATACAAAGAAAACAAATAATTCATTTACTGCTGCTTTTTAATCGTTAGGTTGGTAAAATAATAATCTGCCTCGTAATTCCAACAAAAGGGAGAAAAAATCAGCGATGTAAATCATTGGATATCTGCACAAAAAGACTAACCTACCAGTACTAATTACAATATTGTGAAAATAATTTGTATTATAGCAAAGCTGGTGAATTTTATTAATCAAATTAAGTTGCATGAGAATGCTTCAACATAATCCTAATAAACACGTTTGTAAGACGTTAGCAAACGAATGCCTCGAGCTTAAATTTTCCGACACAATTGACTGCACACTTCACATCCAGTTTCATGGCCAAAAGTTTTGAGATTTTCAACTTGGTTTTTCTATTCCATCCCAATACAGATAGAACTTTAGGAGATCTAAATGAAATTTGATTTGGAAAATTATTGACTTTTAGCGTTTTAAGAGACAAATAAAAATAGCGTTTGAATGAACAATATTATCCATTAACGTGTCTTAATACTAATGTCTCCAAATTGTCAGTAGGGAGCGAAACAGATCCGTACATTGAAGGGAATACGGTTGCCAAGTAAATGTACTGTAGTGTGATGATCATACACTATTATTATAACGATTTAATTTGACAGAACTAAGCTGAATGTTTTCCTGAGCTACTAAGCCATTAATGCAATGATGCTTTAAAGAAAAAACACTACACAGACATTTAAGAATCCTGTGGTCCGTAAGAGCAGTGTAATGAATTTAAGAAGATGTTAGGCACCAAAATTCTTAACTATGGATTAAATGAATCTTACTAAAACCGAAAAAGAAATAAAGTAAACGCTTACAGTATAGGAATTTTTGAACATCACGCTTCTAGCAACCAGTATCTGTGACCATCAGGTATCAAATTCAGTGATACAATGAGCAAATAAAAAAGGAATTTTCTTGTATGGCTATGCATCTTATAGATCAGCGTTCGGAGGCTCCAAGGGTTTTCCAAAATTAACAGCAAGTCCCCAATGATAAAAGATATTGGAACTGTAGATCTTATCATCAAGGCAATATTTTAATGTCTGTATAAAACTATTTTTTGGCAGGTATTTTATGGGTCTTTGTCAGGCTTCATTTGTTGCCATAACAACAGTACAGGGATACTAAAAGACCCTCTAAAACTTAGTTTCTGAAAGATATCTTCAGAACTAAGTCGGTGACATCGCATTTTGTTACAAATTTCTAAAACTCCATCACGTTTTCCACCCTTACACACAGCTGCCATTGTTGCTTACAATTTTCGTGAAAACGATCGTATGGGATTCATTAATTTTGATCCAATCTCCCGCCATGAAAAACCCTTTCTGAGCCTTCTTAACCTGTAGATTTCATACAAACTACAGTTCTGATTTATTGTGTGAGGTAACACGAACATACCTGATCATCCTCCAACAGAATGTAGAGGACTGAGTTACCCCTCACTGTTTTGTTAATCATCTTTCCATTCCAAACACCATGGTTTCCATGAAAAATTAAAGCTGTACTCCCCTGGCTGTAGGATGCACAATAAAACCTAGCCAAACGTTAAGAAATGCAAATAGATTTCAAAGGCAATGATCCATTTTCACTTACTGAACCAATGAAGACACAGTCAAAAATAAATGTTTTACATGTACCACAAAGATTAATGCTTGCATAAACTTTTAAACATCTTACTGTTATATTATTTTGTTACCCTGACAAATTTGCTTTCACAACTAAAAGTCGACATTAATTAATATCAACCCCATCTAGTTTTTTTTTTTGTTTTTGTTTTATTTTTGTTTTTATAAGAAAACATCCAGCACAGGTAAACGAGTATTTGTATCAAATAATTCTGTACTGAAGAAATTGAAACTAAACCTGATTTCAACTGAGACTGTTTGCTTTTAACTACAAAACATAATCAATTAATGTGTACAATCCGAAATAAATCAAATCAAAGAATTGTCTCTAACAATACCCAAATGGCTTAGTGGTGATTAATTTCAAACATCTCGGCAGACACTTTTCTATGATAAAACTGAATGGAGGCTCTTAAATTTTTCTAGAAGTTTAATGTGCTTACGAGTTGTGAATTCCATGTTTTATTTTTTTTTAGCATTGATACAGATACAGTGCAGCCTGAAACTTTGGAATTGATACTGACTTTAAGGCCAAAAGTGAGAAGTGAACTAGTTGATCTCTGTTCGGTTAGTCCACAGCACAGTCCCTGTATAACGATCTAAAACTTATTTTAAGTAGACCCCAATTGATTAACATAATGGGCTGTGATTTCCAAGAAAAGTAAAAACTGCCATCTACAATAATAAATATAGCAATACCAATAGTATATTGTTTTAATGAAACTTGTTTAAAAATCAAATCCTACACAAATGTACATATGACTTATTCTTGCTAAGAAAGGTCTTTTTACATTATCCATAAATATAATAATTTTAATATTATTAATGATGATGTAGACAGGTCAACTGTAAATTAGCTATTGAACTGTTATCGATGTAGGCCCTGTTAAATTAATAACTACATATAGCTAAGGAAAAAATTTTTTGATTACCTTCCAGTTAAGTTAAATGAAGGAAATGCTTCTTGTAGAGTTTTTTTCACCATTTCTTCAGGCATACTCTTGGAAAATTGAACTCCTCTGTTGTACTGTCCAGTGTTTGGCTTTTTAATTTTTGCCATGTCTATGGTTGTTGGCATTAATATTTTGCCATCATGGCTTACACAATCACTTTTCTTCAGCAACACAACAGGTCTAGTGAAAAAGCCTCTACCAGTTGAGTTTTCCATAACTTGTTCAAGGAGGCTCTGAAAGGAATATTGCATGCTAGCTAAGCTCTCTGGACCTCTGTATGTGCTAGACATAACGAGTACTTTATTTAAAAAGGTCTCCAAAGACATTGTTGCAAAATTATCTTTTTTCTCCTTCATAAGGTAATAAAAAAAATGATCATTCTCGAATCAAAATGAACATTTAACCGTCTTCTATCCTGAGTGTATAATCTCTAATGGTTTTGGAATTTTAACTCTTTTATTACTTGTCATAAAAAAATTTCAATTTATCTGACTCAAAATAAATTCAGACTTAGCTTCGTCTTGTAGGACTGTTACCCTTATGACTACTTCCATACTAGAGGTAACTTAATTTGCCCTTTATGTATTAATTGTGACAAAAACTGGGTTCAGATTAGAAAGAGTTAAGCCTCCTTTAGGTTGGTTTGTATTTTTCATTGTTCAGTATCCTTTGGAACAAAGGATTGAAACACAATTCAAACTGGTCTAGAATCATATTACCAAAGTTTACCTTAGACTACAACATATACACAACATATTTGTCTGCATTAAAAAAAGGACAAGGAAAAAGGAACGAGATTTAAAACAGAACATGATGAGCCATGAGAGAGCCCCAAGTCATCTCTCTCACCTTTAATAATGCTCATATATGAAAATAACTGTTATGCTGCACCATTAGAGAGGTACTGTATGCTTTTTGAGCTCTAAGAGTTGCCCATCAGATCCATATTCGTATGGGCAGACACCTGCTGAAGCAAAATCCAAGCACTTTTTCATTTTCAGGTTTTTTATCATGTATTTGCAACAATTAAGAAACAAAAGTAAGTTTCAGAGGACAACTTTTTCAATTACAAGATTCGTGTAATTTGGTTTTATCAACTGAGTTGAAGATGTAAATTGGTGGCAGAAGAGAGATTCTAAGGTTGATGTTTCAAGTGTTACTCCTCGCCATAACGAGTTTTAAGAAACTTAATTATCCCATTTTGTTTTTGAACTGATCTCTATAAGTACATTTGAAATAAATTCCCACGAAAAACAATTCCATATTACTGTTGGACCTATGCCCATTCATTTTAAACCCTCCAAGCCATTCACTCTGAAGCAGACTTGATTTTACTTGTCATGGAAACGCACTTATAGCTTAAAACTTATGTAAGGCAAAGTTCACCAAAATGAGTGAGACTGCGCTGCCAGTATGCTGTTTTTTTTTGTCGCCAACTGGCCATCAGAAAGGTTACTCATACTTTAATTTTTCCATAAACCGTTACAAATTTATTTAAATTTTTGTCCTTTTTTTTAACGTGTTCAAAACACTATTCTTATTTCTAAACACCAATTATTTGATAGACTGGCATTACCAGACCTCCGTTAAATAACTATAACAACACCTCAGCCTTTAGGAAATCCGTTTAATTCAGGCTTTTATTGCTCCTAAAACTCAAAACGGAGCTGAGTGACCCAGCTTTTCATTCACTACCATTATTATTATCATTATCATAATTAACATCATAGTTACTATCATCATCATTAATTTAAAGAATTTAGGACTGGAGGATTTTACCTATGAACTCCTGTGCTAGTTTATTTTGTATTCAGTAAAGTCCCATCTCTCAGCCCCTAATTTTTAGCTGTTATGCCTTCAAAGAACAGAAAAGCGATGGAGATGGAGGGAGGGGGGACTCGGGTGTGCATTTCTGTAATCCCTTTTGGTGAAAAGTTGACAATTTGTGTTAATAAAACAACTTATTAATGCCATACATACTCACTTAAAACCTGCGTTGAAATTGAAGGAAGAAAATTTTTTAAGATCTTTGCCTACAAACATACACATTTGTGGGCCTCTAAATTCAATTTTCTGGCAAAAATCAACTTTTGGCAACCCTCAGTAATAAATACAGAATTGTTGCCTTCCCGCTTCCCCTCTTCTCCTGCCCACCACCCCGCCTAAAACTAACTTTACCAACGGGAGGACATTTGGACATCTCATGTTCCGTACATAATGGAGGAAGCGAGTCGGAAAATGTGCTTGCAACAGCTTTATTTACCAATTTGCTATGTTTACTCCCATGCTAATTAAAGATTGTAATAGCGGTCAAGAGAAAGATAAGGAAGAAACTCTGGAGGTAGTAACAATTTACAACGAAAGTTTCTGAGACTGAGCAACAAATCTTGTTTAATACGATTCCGGTTTACTGCTCAGCTGAGAAATTTAACATCTCTCTTTTGAAATATTGGCATTGAAACCTTCCATATTGTAAAATAGCATCTTGAATCACTTTATATTCAGTCTTCACTTCCTAATACAAAATTGAGGGTTAGAGTTAAATGCCGCACGCAATATAAAATGAAGTTTATCTCCACGAAATCAGTTCGACTTGATCAGTGTTTACTTTAAGTTTATGCGTATTTGGGAGTTACGGAACGTTTTGTTTGCGTTTGATAAATCGACTATGGATAGATAAAATTTTTCGTATTTTACTCTTATTTTCGACTTTTGTCGAAATTGTTTAGACACCAAATATAATTTTCACTCGCTATGGCGACCAAGAGGTCGCAACTTGGAGCGCTGCTTAGCCCAACCTTCCTGACATTCAACGATTGCATGAAACTATGACGTCCACGTAAATGTTCTAACATCCTTTATTCGGCTTCCCTTGGTGTTTTGTAACAATTTCCCAAGAAAACTCGTGAAATATGCTTCATCCACTCTCCATCCGTTTTTAAATTTAGAAAGAAAGCATTTCCCTTCAAAAAAAAACTGATGAAACACTCCGTTAAAAGACATGCCACGTTCAAGCTCATTTGGAGCGTTGGCAAGCAACACGTCACATGACCTTACCGCGTGATTAATTTTTCCACGCTTACTTGTTCATGCCGCGGACGCTGAAGTCTATTTGTTTACTTCACAAGATCGACGAAGTGTTTTAGGCCCCAGAAACACAATTAGTTACACGCTGCAATGAAGTGTGAAACCTCAGTATCCCAAAACAGCAGAGTGTAGGATGCTGAGGTTCACGGTTGTTTTTTCCGACTTGTTCGCCATGATAAAAATAGCCTCGATCATGGGAGCTTATTAAGTGCTGTTCACATGCACAGAAAGAAAAAACTGATGCATACATCTGAAATTTAAGATAAAGCTGCATAAGTATTTGAAAAGCAACATGAACAGTTGAATAAATGAGCGATTGCGGCAAAAATTGTACATGCGCAACGAATATTAGATCAAACCATGGTTAGTAGAGGGGAACAAAAACGTGAAGTAAACCGAACCAAAGAATACTTTCAGAAGCAGATATCTTTCCTAATTTTGTTGCACGTAGACTCTTACCTTGGAGTGTAAAGCAGAAAGACATAATGGCATTGCTTCATCCCGATGTAAATCCCAAATTATTTTGCTTGGTGTTGCAGGCTGAGTCAAAAACGTGGAAAAACATATCCTTGTTTATAAATCTTTTTTTAAACGAGTACTCCGACTAGATCACGAGGTTGTTGCTGATTTAAAGCGCATGTTCGTTGTGCACCTAGAGGATCCTTTAAATGCCTCCGATTTAGCCATGTGTGTCCTACATGTAAATCTAATATCTGATCATTTGTTTGAGAACAGCCACAATAAGTTCAGCTTGACTGCCTCACTGAGAACTGATGTGCATTTTAAATCGACCAAATATCTCGTACAGGACACATTAGTTAGCCTTGAAGTCCTTTGTCCACAGTCAGTAGGAGACTCGATCATCCATGGCTTTTTTTAGTGGAGCGTATCTAAAGTTAGTAAATATTAAATCAAACTCATGCAGTTGCATTTCAAGCTGCACGGTTTATCTTGTTGGTGCTATAATTTCGGTACATTCATGACCAGTAGATGTTACGATTGGATTCTTTTCTATTTAAGGAAACTCCCTATTGATCTTTTCTTTTAATTTCGCAGTTCCGCCTCCATAATTCTCAAAGAGCGCCCATAGACACCTCAAGTTACGCAAACTAAGACACCCTCACAATCGCCCCAAATATTCGAGTGAATGGCGTAGCGGGTCACTCAACCAATGATAACGGTGGTATGAAATCGACAAAATCGAACTGTATTCATCAAAACGGTAAAACTAGAGTCCAGCGATGGAGTGAGTGATAGGTGAGTCAGTCAAGCGATAGATCGAGTCAAGCTGAGGGTCTAGTCACGCGACTCAAAACAAATGTCAACCTCATAGAAGAGAGGGACTGGACTTTTTTTTTACAAACAGCAATAACAAACACGGTTTAACAATATAAAAGTCGTTTTAGTAAATACATGTGCATGTACGTATGTCCATCTCATAGCCATCTCACCTTGTTACTGTTGAACAGTAAAAGCACACATCGGTCACACACAAGACATCAGTAACAAATAGTCACGTTACCTGAGACAAAAGGAACAGGCTTGCTGCCACTGAATTGAAACGTTTTACAGTATGTAGGACGCTCATGCTACGCTCATCTCCCCAGTATTTGACACTATAAAACCATCGAGCCCATCGTATTAGACATCCGATTAAAAGCGAAAAGAATGATTGTAATTGGCTTGTAACTTACTTCCAAAAAGCATCACATTATCTTATCGAAAACAGCTCCAAGAAGAGTGAAACCACATTTGCAGTTGGGAAAATCAACAAAGACAATCTATTGTATTGATTGGTGACTTAAATCTCGGTCGTCTTCGGCCAGCAAGCAACGCATGAACTTGACTACCTCAATTCTAAACCGACCAGAGTTCAGAAAATTGGAGAGCGAGTGAGTGAGACACTTATAGTTGTTATTCTCACCAGCCTGCCTGATGGTTCCACCGTAAGCGGCGTGTTTGATCCAAGGCTAAGTGACCACGCCCTTGTCTATGCCCTTGTCTATGCTCATAAAGCAGTCAGCTGATATGATTCGAATTTTCCAAGAGTAACTTTGCGAAGTACGGGTCTATGTTAATGAGCAGGACGAACAAGCTTAAGGATCATAAGTTCAAGTTAGATGTTAACGGGACAGACATTAATTCCTATCATTCCTAACCTTGTTGGGGGTTAATATTGATAACGCTCTGAATTTTCTGATCATATAGGTAGTATTTGTAAAAACAAAAAGAAGCCAACGAGTAGGGGTTATTAATAAGTTAAGGAATCTCATGCCCATTGAAGCCATGTTATAACTCTTTAAGGCCTCTATTCTGCCTCATTCAACATATTGTAGCATCGTATGGAACTTCTGTAAGACAAGTGACTCCAGAAAATTGGAGAGAGTACAAAAAAGAGCCCTTAGGGCCATTTATTGCGATAGCATTTAATCCTATCATGAGCCTTTAGAAAGGGCTAATATATCCTCTTTACCTAATAGTAAGTTGCAAAACATTGCAGTGTTAATGTTCAAGGTTAAAAATGCCTTATGACTAGCTGACATTCCTAGGTTGTTTTCCATCAGTAGCAATAAGTACAATTTAAGAAATAATGAATTTAAAACTCCTTGAGTCAACACCACAGGTTTTGGAAAACATTTAATCAGATAGTAAAATAAGAGAACTTATAACTATAGATGGATTTAAAAAGGAACGTTAACGTACGATAAATATAAATAAGGTTAACTGGTTGAACAGGGACCGTCCATTTTTTTTTAGTTTAGTTTTGTTTTGTTTTTTTCCAGCCGAAAAATGAGAAAAAATACTATCGTTATCTCGCTGCTGAACAATCACACTGGGTGATCAAACTTCTGTCAACATGGCTGACATCGCAATGTCTACTGCATAGCTATGCCTCTGCACCTCTCAAACACAACAGAGGACCTCGTCCAGCGTATGCAGATAGATATAATCCTGGATTGTCCAAAGTCAGTGAGTCTCCTCAAAGTTTTCAAAAGTAAGCGAACGCCGCTTACATTCAGGCGATGCTACCGTGTGAATTGGAATGGTTGTCTTCGATGAACTCTAACGTGTTTGTCTGAAGCCTCCATGAGACATTTTCTATGAGTGTTCGTTCCCTGGGGATAAGATTTGTAAAATCATGCACCGTAGAGTTCTCACTTTGATATCTTGTTAAATGTTTGGCAGAAAAGGGTACGCTTTATATACCATGTCAACCTCTGGTCACAAAATCTCTTTCAACCAATGTTTAAATTGCTAATGCGACTTTCTGAAGCCTCCATGAGACATTTTCCGCTCTGCGTAGTCGTTCCCTGAGGCTAAAACTTGTAAATTCATGCAATGTCGCGGACCGCACGATAGTCTAAGAAGACCGAATGACCCCTGAAAGATTCATTTACGGAAGCTTATAGGACAGATTTTTGGCTGAAGTGGGTACGCATCCGTACGTCATACCTTTCTAGGAAGCTTTTGTGGCATATTAAGTTCGTTTGGTCTCACAATGGGGTATTTTGGTTCACGTTGAACGACGATCTACGGCTGTACCATACCAGAGTATCTCTGAAAGGTACTATTAACGACGATGAGTAGACCATAATATGTAAACAGCCATTTGCAGGTTGGCCCTCGGCAGATGAAAAGGGAGAAATTGCGTCGAATGGTAATTAACAATTATTCCACGAGCGCGCGTTGGATATGAGATGATAGTTAGCCAACGAGGCGCGTAGCGCCGAGTTGGCTATATTCATCTCATATCCAACAAGCGCGAGTGGAATGATTGTTTTATTAAAAACGTTAAATTAAATTATTCAATTTTATTAAATTTTTAGCTCCCTTTTAATTTTAAGCTGACACGTACGCTTACCATATTTGTAGATTATGGTATATTGGCTGATATACCATAATGACTAAGCCAATAAAAAGTCTTGAATTGCATTACCCAATGATCTAGTGTTTAATAATTGGTATTATTCCTTAAGCGTCCGCTGGGAGTTTACCACCTTAATTTCTCAAGCTTTCAATTCTCTGATGAAACTCAACGCAATTACTTACGTAACGTCTCACTGCGCATGTGTAAAATGATCTGTCAGCTCAGTTCTCCCCTTTAAAATCAAACTTGCTATCAAATGCTCACATTCTAGTGTATGCTGTTTTCACTCACATACTTTTTTTTTTAAGAATTAAACATAGTCGTAAGACCCTTGTATCTGTGGAAATGTCAGTAGTATGATCTTCGGCGTTTCTTTTAAAAATTTCTTGTTATGTAACTTACTAGCAACTGTGCGTTTTCGTATCCAAGGAGCTCCTTCAGTACAACGGTAAATGAGAATATTAAATCTTTTTACAACTTTTCAGCTCCTTGAACAGATCAAACTAGGCCAGTTATTTCAAACTAATCGCAAAACATAAACCATTTTTGTAATTCGGAAGTCAAACTGGGTTGAGTGCCTTCCTACTTTTGCTAACTCATTTTTTATTACCTCCATATAAGTCAAGAAACAACATGAAACTTAATACCTCTGTTATAAAATTAGCTAAAAAAGCTATAGAAGCTCTACCCTATTGGAGCTCAAACATTGCGTCTGTGATCCTGTGCATTCGATTCCCACGGCAACCCTCTTGCTCATCACAGGTACTGGTGATGCTAGAAGATGTTGAAAAATTTCTCCAACATTGAATGAAGTTTTATATTGAGTGGGCAGGGAACAGCAGAGGGCGCTTTTTTTATAATATCGACCTTACTTTTTACTGGGAGATAAATTTCCTTGGGTGAAATTATCTCACTCTAACGTAACTAGTTCAAGAGTGCACGAAAAGACAAGGAAAGGCTCTTGTGTTACCTTTTGCAAATCGCTTCGAAATGCTTGTCAATTTTAGAAAGCGATGGTCAAATCAAACAGTCCTGTGATTAACAATACTCAGTGTTTATATAAACTGATGTTCATCAACTAAAAAATTTCTCCTCCATGTCTAAGAGGGAATTGATGACTTAAAACAGTAAGCCCATCTGTCAAGAACGCCTGCCTCTACTCTGAGAATTTGTGCTACCTAAGATCCTGGTTTTGACTGAGAGCTTTAATCGTGGAGCCCAGAGCATGTGCATCCCAAACAAAGATGAAAAACTGACTTCAAAAATTAGTTTTTTGAGGTCGCTGCAATGGTGCCTGATCTATCAACTATCCTCCCCAATATCGGAAACTAGAGCGAACCTCTGGGTTGCTCTTCTGACGTCTTCTTCCGCTTTAATGGCTTGCTTTTTTTCTGAAATCTGGTATTTCGGAAAGCATTTCCTCAATGAGTCCTCCCAGTTTTTGTTTTATCGCGAGGTGGTTGAGGTGTTGGAAGCTTTCATTAGTTTTCGTGTACAAAATCTTATCCACTTCACTGAAGCTGTCTCTAAGAAACTCTATTTTCTACATATAAACACACACACACACACACACACACACACACAATTCCTCTATTCGATCTGACAAAGGGCTAACACTCGAGGCGTCAGCTTTGGAACTCTTTACGGTGGCCAAGTTACATTATCAACTCGTTTAAAAAAAACCAAAATTACCTTCCTGTAAGATGCAGTTAAATTTACGATTGTGGGCTGGCCGGGAAAGAAGCAGATCATACCATGTAGGCTATAATATGTGATAGTGTCGTCTGCTCGTCCGGGTGAGTGTACTCCTGAGAGGGGCTATTATCGGTAGGGGGTAACTGACGTTTCAACAAACTGAGTGGATGTCCTCATCAGAGTCAGGTAAATAGTTCTTGTTGGTCGCATGTTCTAAGTCCGGTTCGTATGAACAGATTGGTCAGTTTTGCCGTGATATCATTAGTTATAAGCCTCAAGTGCCGTAGGTCAGTCTTGATTGGTCGGTTTCGATAGAGTTAGGTCGTTCTGTTAAGTTCGTTTGTAATGCCGAGTTAATGTCGTCACGAAGTCGTTTGTATGATATGCTGGTAGTAGATAACACCTTTTGAGCGGAGTCTGCTCTAAGTTAGTAATTCAGTTCCAGAGTCATTCGTTGTAAGTAGTTAGTGCCCGTAGGTTAGGCATTGCGCAGAGTCCCAATCAATAGTGTGGCTCGTAAGTCGATGATGTTCAGCAATGTGATTGTTGACAGAACCTTTTCTCGTCACCTGCTTGTGTTCAGTCAGTCTTGTTGTGAGGTTTCTTTCTATCTTTCCAATGTAGGAGGCTTGACAGTCTGAGCAACACGCGACTTTGCTAATACCGGGGTCAGAGTGAACGCCGCGGGGCTTGGCCAAACCAGTGCCGGGTCGCCTGTTTTCCTCTTCTTCGCCCGATTTTCAATGGAGATCGATGTTTCGTTCAGCAAATAGGCGTTGCCTTTTGATGACAGATTTATTTTGATACAAGACTCGTGGTTGACATTAATTCCATACAGTGACTTAAAAGTGTTAGCTTATCATGTTTTAAACCAGTTTTTCAGAAGAATCGATGAGAGAGAGAAGTCGTCTTTTATAGTCTGTTTGCTTACCTGAATCTGCTAACCTGAAAAGAAAGACCTGTTTTTACGCCCCGCCACAGAAGTAAGTTTTCAATCACGCTTTCTGAATTTTGCTACGAAATTGAGACTTTATTTGCGTTCCTCTGATTTCGAATTATAAATGTATCTCTTTTGGATAGAATAATTATTAAAGCTTGGATTAATATTATACGGTTTGTGGTGGTCGTCTAAGCTGACCAGTTCCTCGTAAGGAAACAATCGATTTGAAGCGTTACCCCTTTGGTTTTCCCCAGAAGTAAAAATTTTAGATGTCAATAGAGTTCTAAAGTGTGACGTCACGTTGCCATGGCGCTGAAAAAGTCAGTTCTAAACAACTCGGACAATCTCTTGCGCGTGGGTCACGTAGTGCTTGTCTCTGCTTTGTCTTATAATTAAAACGTTTATTAACCTTGTGTTATATTACAAAAGAGGTCAAGAAGAAGAACACAGGGTCAAAATGTCAAATACTATTTGAAAATTATCGCTTTTTGTCGGAAGAAATTTATCGGAACGAACACAACAGCACAATGGTGTACTGCTTTGCTCCGACATGCAGTCATTCATCAGAAAGCCACACTTGCAAGTTCTTTGCATTTCCAAGCGATAAAAAGGAAAAAGACGAATACAAGCGATGGATCCGTCTGATAAGGTTTGTAAACGGCACTTGTAATTAGCGCTTTGCTCAAAAGAACATCTTAACATTTGCCATTTTTTTGCGAGTGTGCGATTTCCACCGATGAACAAGCGCATGTAGTGTCAAGTTTGTGGGTACTGAGTAGGTTTTTGTGTATTTGCTTTTCATTACATTTTAAATTTTGAAAAACCTCGAATACAACTGTGCTGAAAGAATATGTGTTTGTCTGAACGCCACTGTGCTAACATGTGCTTACTTTCAAAACTTAAAATTTCTCGGTGCCCATACTGAGTCATATATTTCAATGTTGTTTGTGCTATGAAATGCATATGGCTTACTGATTTATTTAATATATTTTTAAGAGCTTCTGGACTTCAGGAGTTAGCTGAAAGTTTGAAACGAATTTTGAGCAATTTAAATCTTTACAAGTGTTTAGGATTAAGTTCTGTTATCTGTTTCTTTGAAATAGGAGGAAAGACAGAGAACCAAGCAAGCATTCTAGAGTGTGCAGTTGTCATTTTGTGGATGGAGATAAATTAAATGGGCCCACAATTTACGAAAGAAATCGAGATAAGATATTTCCTGGTGAAGGAGGACCACCAAAGAAAAAGAGAAAAGTAACAGCTAAACAGAAGACGGTGCAGGAAATGGTGGCTGAGGCAATCACAACATCTGAGCAGCAGTCCACTAATAATGACACTGATGATACCAAACAAGAAAGTTGCAACAAGACAACAAATGAGATAATACTGGAGGCAGAATTAAATCAAGCCAGGGAGGAACTTCAGGACCTGCAAGAAAAAGAAAGCTACACACAAAAACACTACTCAGCTTCTGGATTGAGTGTAGAGGTTCTTAGAATGGAAACAGGGCTTCCAACAAAAGAAGTTTTTAACATTGTAGTACTTCATGCCTTGAGATTCAAAGATTTTATTGTTTATTATTCTGGTTGGAAAGTAGAGTCCATTAATTTTGAGGACCAGATTTTCATTACTTTAATGAAACTAAGACAAAATTATACCAACTTGCACCTTGCCCAGCTTTTCAGTTGCAGTGTTGCAACAATAGCTAATATTGTCACCACTTTTGTCCATGTTTTGCATTCCATATTATTTCATGACATCATGACAACCATTCCGTCCAGGCAAAAAAATGTGTTATGTGCACCATCTTCTTTTTCAGAGTTTACTTCTTGTAGAATTGTCATTGATTGTACCGATGTGGAGATCGCAGCCCCGGGGTTAATGAGTTTGCAAAATGCCACTTATTCAAGCTACAGGGGTATGAACTCATTTAANTAACCAGAATCATTGAATAAAATGCAAAGAAAAACGAACAAGAAATATCTCTTGATTCAAAAAAGTCCTGAAACAGACTATTAAGCAGAAAAAAAACCAACGAATTTCTTGCATTTACGAGACACTCTAACTTTCTACTCTCATTTCAATAAAAATTTCAGCCAGAATGTAGGATATTCATCTAGTATTTCATCCCATAAAATTGTGCCAGGAAATAAAATTAAGAGCTATTTCCTCGACACCTCGAGGTCGAGGATTGTCTCAAACTACCAAAGGTCAAAAATGACCGAAGCTTTGAGTTTTAATAAGCAAGAAACCTATACCAAGAATAAATCAATATAATTCTTATCATTTGGTAAGAAATAGCCCCACCTCAAATTAGAGCATGCGATACGTTTTGAAGCCGGAAACCGCTCTCCAAATGTGAACTGACCCAGGAGGATGTTATCATAGGAGGATCTTCTGTGAAATATAATTAAGTTTGAATGGGCCATAACAATTCATAACAAGAATGGGCTAGAATTTTTTATTTTCGAAGTATATGTATCATTTATCAAAAGTAAAATTGCTCAGGGACATAATGCTAATAGGTGTTCCTAAACTGATGCCCAAGCTGAAGTCGCGTGGATGCAACTGAATTGAAAGAGATTCAATTTGGCTTCTAAAAGAAGTATTGATTTGAAGAAGCAGTCGACCTTGGCTAGAGATTAATAATTAACAGAATGATAAGCCCTCTTTATTGAAATCCTCAACGAGAACGGAAGTTTGCGGTTACCTAGGGTTTTGAAATTCCCAAAATTAAGAATACTGAGCTCATCAATTTCGTTGAGCACCAGCCTGATAAGGAGACATATGTCTTCTTTGGAAATTCCGAGAGGAAGGTGGGCCGGAAGAGAAAGGACCGGTAGAGAAAGGACTGGAGGAGAAAGGACCGGAAGAGAAAGGACCGGTAGAGAAAGGACCGGTAGAGAAAGGACCGGAAGAGAAAGGACCGGAAGAGAAAGGACCGGTAGAGAAAGGACCGGAAGAGAAAGGACCAGTAGAGAAAGGACCGGTAGAGAAAGGACCGAAGAGAAAGGACCGCAAGAGAAAGGACCGGTAGAGAAAGGACCGGAAGAGAAAGGACCGGAAGAGAAAGGACCGGAAGAGAAAGGACCGGAAGAGAAAGGACCGGAAGAGAAAGGGCCGGAGGAGGTTAAGCAAGATAATCTTCAGGAGGGTTGTTCAATACCCACGACTAAATTTAGGTTACGACTCCCTGTAATTTTACTTGCGTTGGAAGGTGTCTCCACGTTTCACTATCGAAATCTATTTACGTGTATTGGACATGAATGATCTCTTGCGTCCGGCGAAAGGGCATTTTTTGCAACTGCACATAACAAGCAAATACATACTATTTTTACTCATTTCTTTTCTCAAAAAAAGTTTGAAATGACTGAGCGTCAGCTTGAGGCTTTAGTGCCACGAAAAAAAGTTAACATAATATTTGGAACAGATTAGATATCTCTTCTAGAGAATCAGAGTGACTGGCCTGTTTATATTAAATTTCTAATGATACTCTTTGTTTATTCATCATTACTATTATTACTATTATTAGTGTGCATATATATTTAATTTCTTAAACTTAATCATGATGCAGAGTGACAATAACTCTCAACAAAGAAACGACAACTTTAAATTTAAATTTACAAGACATGTTTCGACATTCTCATGTCATCTTCAGTTACAAATGAGTTTTTAACGGTTGTACATTTGAATTTATATTGAGGTACGTTACAAATTACATGTCCGGACTTACGTTACAATTTGAATATTAAATACGCGTAAAATGAAAATATATCGCGCATAACTAGACCAAAAAAAAAATTCATAATAATAATAATAATAAATAAATAAATAATAAAAGACAAAAGAAACAACATAATTAAAAGGAAAGATTACTTTGATTATACAACATAATTGCATGTTTTTTTATATCCCTGTATTTATTACCTAGTTTTGAGTCTTTGGTTTAGTTTTGAGGCTTACGTTTGATATACACATTCGTGTGCTGAAGTTTAACTTTCAATGAAGGTGAATAATAACTGAAACATGCTGTAAACGGACAATACAAGAAACGCCTTATACATATGTTATTGCGTGTAATCATATTTTGGGGCTACTGTTTTATTCTTGATATGGTTTGGGAAACTAATGCAAGACATTATTGGTCATTGGTTGCTTTTTGCGAAACTATTTTGAAGTATAAATTTGAAACATTACAGGTAACACATCAAAAGATTATAAACCGATTAAATACAGTTCACAATCCCTTAACTTCATAAAAACTTGCCAGCTACTAGTTCCTCTTCGACAACTAGTTGTTATGCGCCGATCAATTCGAAACTTCAATATTCCTGCTCGGAAAAATCCAGGGCGTCGGACCGTTGTTCGTGCCCGTCGAGTGGGAAATTTGAAGCCTTCCTGGCTGGGGTGGGAAATTTGAGCCTGAAATGTCAAGTCTTCTTTAGTGCAATAAAAGTGTTTTAACTTTAAACATGGGAGTGTTTTAAGGTAAAGAGTTCACTTTCGCTGGTGAATGGCTCGCAAAAAAAAGGTTTACAAAGGCTAGGTTCTAGCCGTAGTCAATGAGTGGAAAGTCACGGTTGCTAATTCTGCCTTTTATGGATTAATCTAATGATAGTCGATAGGAGCGAGGCCCTAATTAACTATTACGCACAAAAATCGCCGATCGGGGATTATCTAGTTGCTTTAGTACATCGCGTTTCCTCGAAAAAGCGCCCATATTATTATTTTAAAAATTTCGTCGGAAAGGAGGGGTGCCTTGCTGAAGGAAGGCGCTTAATTGAGGTGGAGGGAGCGCAGCAATCAGAAAAAAAAATTTAAAGGAACTCTGCAAGCACATGGAGATATAAATAAATGGAAATGACCTTAACGGAAAAGAAATCTTTTTTCCTGTAGATATTCCGCTGTCAGTTGATGCCTGAAAAGATATCAATAAATGACAATAGGAACAGGTTTTCCTTGTATCCTTACTATTTAAGAAAGTGAAGAAGTCGAAGAGGAGCATTATTTGAAGTTATGGCCTAGTGGGTAGTCACCTATTCGAGGGAAGAACCTTGTTACAACGTGGGCGCTTATTCGGGAATTACGGTAAGTCTACTCGTGGTTCAAAACCTAACTGCAAGACAAGCTCCTTTTTCTTTCAAATGGTAAAACAAAAAGTAACACCATGCCCACTGTTGAGCTACGCACTTTCACATCCGCAATCTACCGAGGACTGTGACCAACCATTAATTTCCATGCGATTCTATTGGCTACATTACGTCACGTGATACAGAATTACCGGACAGTTATCCCGCAATAACACCTGTTTCCGTCGACATTTGACTTACGATTATTTCCGTCGAAAAGAGACAAAGCCTGCCGTAAAAAGCCCAGCTCAAGAGTTTCACTTTTTCATCCTCCCTACTTTACATAGAAGATAAACGAGCTCGTTCCGTAGAGTCCAGCGGCAGTTACATTAAAAAGCTGATACGAATGCTGCTTTGGAGAGGACAAAAAAAAATCAACAAAATTTGCTGTCAACCCGCGATGCGTAAATTAATCGGGGCGGGGGTCATTGCATTTGCCCTCCAAGCTTCGCTTAGCCAAATGTTCATTTTTCGGACAATATCCCAGCCGCGGACTTTATTAGCTGATATACCTGCCGCCTGAAGGGGTTTATACGATAAGCATATTGATTAGTTCTTATGATCTCTTTGAGGAACGACGCATAGATGACGTCACCGTTCAAAAAATTTTGCTTCTTTATCCTGTAAAACAGGTAGATCACATGTTGCAGTGGGTTTGTACAGTAATGGATCAAAGAAGACGTCAAAATGTGGAAAGAACATCTGATTCAGTGACACACCGGGACGGCTACTCTTCGTGTGCCGCCTTTTTGGTTATAGCACATTTTGACGTAATCTGCCATCGAAACAGCGGAACAGCAACATGGAATTTCTTTGTTAAATATACAGCGAGTAACTGTAACGATACCGCGCCACAAAGGTGGGCGCCCTCTGACACACAAAAAAAAAACACCAGGCATAAACAAACCCGAGAAAACACGCCACAACCAAACGTAAGCCTACAAATATTTATCAAGACAATAACTGTAACTAACAATCACGATAACACAATAAGCTAAGTTATTTACCTTAATTAATTTACAGGAATATAATAATTTAAAATTAGAGTACGCTAAATCTATTCACAAGAGTATTATTAAATAAAAAAAATAAGTTTTTACTAGTTCAGTTCAGTTCGCCTTGCGTCCGTGTTCTTGACTTGTCCTCAACTCTCCCACGCTCCACCAACAAACTATGCATGTACTGACATACCAAATTTCCGTTTCAAAAACCAACCTCCCGTTTCACGAACCAATCTCCCGTTTCACCAGTTTCCAACTTTGCGTACTTCCATCTTCGCTCAGACAACTCGTAATTTTACCTTCGTTCGAACTTTTCTTCTTAATTTAGTATTCATCACTTCTTCCTCAGCTTACTGTCTGACAGCTTCTCTGTGCACATATGTTCCCCGGCAAAAGGATTCTTTGTCGTGAAATAGAACAGTTCTCTGAATAACTTTTCATTCAGAGATAAGAATGTGCTCTGATCTTGAACGAGTCTCTGTTCCTTTCAATTCCCCAACGCCCTTCGCTCAAAACTAATAAAACCTCTCCAACCGTAATCACCCAAAAGTCTTAAATATATGTAGACGCAAGGTGCAAGGTGAAAGAAAAAGGAAAGAAAACTATCGGATAATGGTTAATTACAAAACGAGTTACGCAAGTAAAGAATATAGATTATGTACTAGGTACACTACAATATAACACAATACATTGATCCCAGGAGAGTAAAGGAATGAATTACATAGACTTAAATAAATTCTTTGTTAACTTCCATGCTTTCATAACAGTAACATAGGAAATCAAGTTGCAGCGTTTTTCATACAACGGTGGTAGTATTTCTATCTTCTACAATATTCTTCATCGGTCTCTTAGCGATTCCGCCCAACACGAGAATATAATTTCGCCCCACTAGCAGCCGATATTAAGGGGTATTGGCGAGTCAAAAGGGAAAATTAGTTTATACTCTAATACTAGTTTCAAATACAGAAATTTCCCTTGCCATGTTCTTCCCAGAACGAGCATCACCTTTGAGTAGCAACGTGAACTACACTGAAAAGCACTAAATCCAAGCATTAGATCAGATTCATTTATTTACGTCAACTAGCACAACACCAAAAACAAAGAACCTATATAGATTGATTGTTCGAGTAAACAACGTTCGGCACATTTCTGGAAGTTCAGTCCATTCAGCCATGTTGTCAATAGTGAGTTGGACTTCAGGACTCCTAAAGTTGTTAAGCGCGTTGTAATTGAGTTGACGGAACAGCCCTGAATGTCTTCGTTTGACCATCGTTCTTTGTCTTACTCACGGAAACCTTAATTTTTTTTTGAAAGCTCGTTCGTAACGGTGATATGAATTTTCCGGAGGACCGTCCAGGACAAATGATGCCATATGTACCATGTAGATGGGTACACCTGATCCACTCATTATCATATTTTTTCTGTTACAATTTTGCGAACTTTGACGATAGTTTTTCGCGCCCGAACTTAACTCTCGCGGAATGCACAACAATAACGGGGGAAACTAGCCTAGTAGAGACGACTCGGCAGCGAGAACGGAAACTCGTCACGATTCCATGGTACAGGCGACCTTCTTCGAGTGAACTTTTACGGACGTTAAGGACGAGACAACCTTTTGGTGCCACAGTAAACTTTATTCTAGGTCAGGCCAACCACTGACATGACCTCTAGCGTCTCAAGTCGGTTATCGAAAAACCTTTACAAGGTACTTACTTAGATATGAACTGGTGTGAGGTTCTATAGTTCTTTAAATTGACAATATTTTAGTAAGATTGCAAAAGGATGGAAATTAAAAGGTCTGTTTGAGGTTAAATTATTTACATTTAAATATTCATATTGTAAGAAATATACAACTTTTAGTAGAGACATGTTTTGGCATGTTTATGCCATCTTCAATCAATGAGTAACTGAACGTGAGTGATTATATAACAGACAAGTAAATGAATAAAATATTTACTGTATGATGTAATACAAAAGCGGGTACTAATTACAGCGTGACAACAGTTGTCAAACCAATTTTGCCAAAAAGATCATTAAAGCTTACATTCACCTAAAATTTCACCAGAATCGAACGAAAAAAATGACCGACAGACAGCTGCACAACGAAGACAAAGTAACATGACAAATCTATTTCAGAAAACTACTGTGGCTTTTTCTATACTTTTTTAAAACATTACAATGAAAGAAACTCGTGTGAATTGAGAACGGCTAGAATACCGAAAACGACGAATAAATATGTTTAAACAACCACAAGGAAGCATTAAATTTTCCCGTAACAGAACTTCTACTAACAAAAGATTAACTTCTTTCCTTTCCTTCTCTTCTTCTTCTTCTTCTTCTTCTTCTTCTTCTTCTTCTTCTTCTTCTTCTTCGTATATGCTTTTACACTTAAATCATAGTTAGGCGTGAGTGGGCTCGCGGCCAACTGGCCCTGACGACTAAACATCTCTAATCAAAACACTTAGCGATGTATTTACCCTCATAAATGAACAACAACTTAGTTGGTGCTTCCAATAAAACAATCCATTCTTGACTGCGAAAGCCAAAACAAGAACTTCACTGTAGACCTAATCAAGGTTAGCTGGCAAATTAAGCCGGCACGCCCACTAATGGATGCTACTGTTTAATAATCAAATATTGACATCACACTTAAAGGTAAAAACTGCGCACGTGGCCTTGCAGGCTCTCGAATCATAAACGTAAACAACTGGGCATACTTTTGGGGAACGAAAGTCAGGTTCGAATAATCTGACAACTGGACAAATCAATCAAAAATCAGGAAACTCGTTGTGATTGCCAAACCTTAAAAAAAACTTTTGGGCTATATATTCAAAATCTTCACAAAATTTCGAAAAGTAAAAAATTACCAAATCACAGCTAACTTCACACTTTATGATGATATTATCAAAGCTATTGGCGAAAGCAATGGTAATCTCAAGCACACAATTTTACTAACAGATTGCGAAGTTTGAAACTTGAACTGCCGTGCCACTAGCGGAGTCCTAACAGACACTCTGCTAGGATTGACTTTGCATCAAGCAGTTAGTCATGAGGTCAAATCAAAGATTCCCCCGTGAGCTAATTCAAAGCTAATTCAAATATAATTAAAGCTAATTCAAATATATGCTAGGGAAAGCATTTTTTTTTCCTTCAATCACGAGAAGTGACTGCGTAAGGCGCCTCTCAATTTACTGACTTATTAAAGCAGCTTGCGAAAAGGTAAGCCTATCAAACTTATCCTGCTTGCAATTAAACCTATCGTACGAGAGGAAATAATCCCCATTTCGCTGTAAACTATAATAAAGCACTGATATCAACTGCTTTTACCGAATAATCTAGTTTGTACTTTTTTTAATTCCGAAGGCTTGTTGAATAGGAGCATATGTTCCACTAAACACCGTAATCAATCAAATGGTGTCTTCGTCTAGATCATATCTATGTGACATATCTCTGAGTTCTAAATGATTTGAAATTACCTTTTCCATTGCTTTAAAAGCATGGATAAATACTTTGATAATGAAACAATAGTTTCAAATAAGTCATCCATCTGAAACTCATTTTGAAGTTCTTAAGAAGTTTGAATTTGAGGTAATTTGATAATCTGCTTCAGAATAATCTCTCAGGCATTTGCTTCTTATATAACTGGCTCAATTGGATCTACAAAATCATTGTAATGTGAATTATCATTGTTTTGTTTCATATCAGTCTATGTTACAGGATGCATTCTATACGAACTCACAACCAATTCGCTGCAAAACCTTCAAAGACCTCCGTAAATAGAAGACACCAACGATGATTATGATGACAATGTTGGTGAAGAAAGTAACTTTGTTAGGAGCCATTTTCCCTTTTTTCAGCAGGTAATGTCGTTTAGCAAAGGGGCCCAAGCCGATCAGAGTCTGATCTCTTTGAGTTCAGGTGTGATGTTGGTTGCACCACCATCTTTAACCCTCAAGTTGCAGATGCGTTCCTCAGCGTGAGAAATATCTATGTGAAAACTCCACGTTTTCGCGAGCCTCATTGCTAATTCTGCGCTTTCTAGTGCCATCTCGTAGTTGCCTTTTCGGAATTCCAGATCTGACTTAGCTAGATTGTACTGAATTCTAACACCCGCGCTAAGTTCAGGCCAGTATTTCATCTCCAATGTGCCCAAACAATGCTGCGCTCTCGCAATACATTTTTCGCTTACACCCCGTACCCGTGCGTTCCTGGTCCGGCAGTCAAGCGAGAGCATTGCTAATTTTATCAGGGAAAAATGCTTCATCTTCAGAGAGAGGCCATCGTCTTCCGTCTCTAGATGCAGACATACTTCTACGCATCTATTCAGGTGGTCCATGGCGCTCGACACTTGCTTGGGGCTTCTCTGAGGCGCAAGAGCAATAAAGTTGACCAAGACGCTTCCTCTTTCGTAAAGTGTGAGACTTGTGTCAAAACTCGTGGGAAACCAGGAATTTATCTGTTCTGCAAATTGCAGAAGGCGGTCAGCCTCTCCCAACCTGTTTGTCAGTCGCATCAGTCGAGCTAGATACCTGTAACCTCTTCCTGCTAAAAGGTGCGGGTTTTTAGCCAGAGGAATCATGCGGAGAGACTCTTTGATCAACTTACGTGAGAGCTTTAATTTGTTTTGGAAAAGGGCTACTACACTTTGTTCCAGTTTGATAACTATTCTTGTGTCGATGTCAGTGATGTGCAGCAACAGATTTCGTACGCAATTGTCAAAATCGTCCCACTTTCCATTGTCACAGAGTAGTTGTAACTTCTTCATCAACAGATAGGACCTTTTATAAACTTTGATACTGTCTCTTGACAGAGAAGCCTTCTTCATTACGAAAGATGGCGAAACAATCTTGGCCTCCTTCATCTTTTCTCTAGCCCCAGTTTCAAGAGTGACTAAAACTTCGCTAATCGTTTTATAAGTTGACGAATTCTTTGATTGTTTTACTTCTCCTCGCTGTGTCGCCATACGCAAGTTCAAAGAGAACTTGACGCTGTATTTTGTGTTCTGCTCGTGGAAGCGGAAATGGTAACCAACAACTCCGGTCAAAGGTGACTTCTTCTTACTTTTAACTTCGCTTTTAATCCGTTTATACTGATAATCAGGTTGATTCAGACTATTTTCAGGAGTTTCATCGTAGCTTACCGACACTTTTATCTCGTACTTATCTGTGATGTCGAGTGCTTCTGTTGTATGTTGGTTCTTGCAAACCAACAGTTTCACTAAGTGGTCATCGCGACAATCAGGAAAGCCAATCCTGCTTCGACCGACTTTCAGTTGTCCAGGGGGTTTCCAAAGGTCTTTCAAAACGGGCGTGTCTTTATCATTGTCGCTGACATTTTCAGCTCCTGGACTAATCTTCTTGCTACTAGAAGGGTCCGCTAATTTTGACTGGTTGGTATGTAGATTGGCGGATATTTCTTCACTCACCTTGGCAGAGTTCTCTTCTTCGCGATAACCTTCATCTAGACGATATAAGCTCTGTACTGATGGCAAAGGTACCATCAGTTCCCTTAAAGAAAAGAATGCAATGCTGACTAAATTTTTTCTGAACTTCGAGATTTCTTTGGCCTATTTGGTTTTAGGGAGTACTCGCATAAGCGATTTCAATTTGATAAACTTTCGTATTTATCCTGAGTAGCACCATCCCTCATTTATCGAAAAGAGTTCTATTAAGGTAAATGAGAAGAATGTTCGCAATCAGAACTAAAGGAATCGTAGCAAAAGATTTTCGGTTGGTGCGGTTTTCTGATTTAAAAGCACCGTAAACAAATTCTCTGGAATTAGGCAGGCATGCTTTACGAACAATACAGTGTTTTGGTTGCAAACTAATGTAAAAGATACTAACGCAGCCCTAAGGCAAAGATCAAGTACTTCAATTAGCTATGACTTGACTGTTCCTTAGAAGGTTTTGTAGCAAACATAATCTCAAGACTAAAACTCTAAAGGTAATCCCGTTGCATTCGTTTCAATTTAACCGGTTGCTTAGGAGTTAACACTACATTAGCCATTTAGTAAGCATTTCGACAACTAACCTGGACAATGAGCTCCAGAATGTTATAACAAAAGAGAGCTTTTCCATCTGGGTGAAAAAAATTAAAGGAGAAATAACTTTGAAGGTTAATATGATACCTCTCTGACCGTTTCGTCACGATTTACTTTTGTTTGTTTCTTTGGTATTTTCGCTTAGGCCTCAAGCGTGACCTAAAGTTATTTTCACTGAAGTTAGAGCTATTTAAAGGCAACAACTTTCTCCTACACAATTCAAAATATCGACTAAAAATAGCTGTGGGAAGAGAGGGCCCCTGTCGATGTGATGTTTGTGTTTTCCCTTTCCTATGGTATTTGTTTTATCATTTGTTCACACCACTTTTACAACACAAATTCAACAATAGCCTACCGGAAGTCTGGGTCATAGCAGGCGGAACTTAGCATGATTCTGTAGCATGAACCTAAAAGGGGTATCTTCTTTGCTTGATCGAACCCCACTGACGGAGGCAAAATGGCCAATAAACGCCGTAGTTGTTAATATTGTAAATGTAGTATTGCCACAGCCCTGAAACACACCTTTCCCTCAAACCTCAGACAGTGTTTCTCAGGTTTCCTTAAAAAATTGATGGTCCTAGTTGACTGCTATCGTCTCATGTATACTTCTAGAGGGATGGGGAGTCTTTTGGCTGTGAGATTCTCATCTACTGCCTGAGTATCCACCAAATGAAAATAACGGGCAAAGCCTTGCGAATAACGATTTTACAAAAAATACCTTGGCAAAGGATGTGAGAAGGGATGCCGCGCCAAGATGTAAAAACTTCACCTCTAAGATGAAAAAAAAGCAAACAGCAAATCAAAATACATTTGCATTGTCTTCCTTTACACTTCTTTGCGATAATATTGACCTCTCTTCTGATAACCTTAAAAAGAATTATTTCTTAACTTATGCAGTGCAAGTTTTACCTCACAGGTAGGTTAGCGAAATATCTTGCTTACAAATTGTAGCTGGATGTAATCAAATAAAATGCGGATGCTTGTACAACGATTATTAACTAAATCTACTAAAAGTTTTCAAAACACTATTTTAACAGTGTAGGAAAAGCTCACTTAACACTTACATAATTTAGTTCGGTAGAAAGTGTATCTGAAAAAAAAACCTTTAAGTATTTCCTTTGAGTATGATGCTGTTTCGATATTTTGCCCTTGCTACTGCATAAGGAAAATTATTTGATTTTAAGACGGTACCTTGACAAATCTTTATTTCAAACAGGTACATAGTGCCTCGGTTACGGTCTGGTGGTAGAGGATCGCTTCTCCGCCAAATGTCCTGTCCGTTGGAAATCGAGTCTGCTATTAACCGATAAAAATCAGTAAGAAAAGTTGTGGATAATCGACCACCAACCGCGGGATTATCTTGAGCTGGCTCTCAAGTTTAAAGGGTGAAGATAAGGTTTTACTTACAAAGATCTTCTCTAACTTTTTCAGCAGATGTTGCAACTTCCAACTGAACAACGTCTTGAGGGCAATCTTGAGTACTAAACCCCAAGCAATAATGCATTCAAATAAGTATTTGCAATAAATACTACCTGATAAACTAGGGAGCAAACACAACTCACTCATCGTCAGCCAGCTGTTTAACTAAGGAACCATACCTGATAAACTAATTCAATAACTAAACTAAAATAAACTAAATGTAGCAAAAATTATAGAAAATAACGACTGGTCCCCGAAACTGAGGTGGCTAGTAAGAGGGTATTTCAACGCTGTCCACTCTTCTAGTACATAGTAGTTAGTCATATTCGTATTTGTTATGATTTCTTATTAGCCAGTGGAAGAAAGTAGAAGTGGTACACTTATTATTGGAAAGAGCATTCAAGGATTTTATAGCTGACCTTAGAGTCGACAGTACGTTACTCGGCGGTACGTTAAGTAAAAGCAGTTCCAAAAGTATGATTTTCACTGATCCCCAAAAACATTCGCTTGTTAATTAAGGTCATAGAGATCACAGGTAGCTTGAGCATTTACATTGCATGCTAACTAATTTCTAATTTTCACTATTGTTAAATCTGTATCTGTACCTTTGCATATCTTCAAGGTCATTTGCAGACTCTCCGCTGCCATGATCTCTGGCAGTTAACCCTTGTATTGACGTATTCTCCTTGAAAGCAGCCAAAGCATTTTGAGAGGAACTCGGTTGTGTAAATCCTTGAAAACATAAATGCATAGGAATAATCACTTTTCCGCGTCACAAACTAGATATTTCGGACTAGTTGCATGTTTAGTACTATGTGCTTGTCAAAGGACTGTTTTACCTATTCACTCCTTAGGTTTACCATTCAATGGAAAAATTTATTTCAAGAACTTTGCAATGGGCGTGCCGACTGGGACGACCAGTTAACCGACGAGAATGTGAAGAAATGGAATTCGGAAATGGGATGAAATTTTTGTGTTAGAAAAAATTCCATTTTCAACTGACGGGAGAAGAAAGTCTCTTCCTTTTTTTCAAGTTAAACAACCTTAACCCGAAATAAAACGTTTTGTTTATTATTTATTTAAGAAAGGAAAAATTAAAATCAGAACAGGCTTGTAATAACGTTTTGTAATCAAGTTTCCCGAGCTTATACTGAAAACGCGTTGGGGGCTACAGTTCTCACCCTTACACGCACGCACCCCTACCCCACCTCTTTCCCCCTGGTCCAAGGGTGCCCCTTCGTATGTTCTCTGGGTAGATAGCCGTAGATAGCCCAAGGATGTACGTTAATTTTGCGTTTGGTAAGTTCCCTAACACAATATATGTTTGTTCCAGAAACGTCTGCTACAGAAAATTTCTAGTTCGACAGTTGAGAAAAGTTTATTGTCGTAGTTTCATTCTCCTAAAAGAGAGGCCAACTAACCATATTTTCCTTCTCAGTGGCCTTCTTTTAAGCAGCTGTATTTGTGAGTCGCTTTTATAAATGAAAGGTCTCTTGAAAAATAGAGGCCTTTCATTGCTCTTGTTAAAAGTGATAGCTAGTTCTTTAAATATACGTTCAATTACAACTAATATCAAGGATCATACCCCTAAAGGAGATTAACAACTCGTTGCTAACTTTCTTTAGGCTGAAACTGCTAGCTGACAAATTAGACTTACCAACACTACCGGTATTGGGCGTGTTTGTACGATTGCCTCCCGAATGGTAGGTATACAACTTTTTACCAAGCCTCCTCTGTAGGTTTTCGTTCGTAGCTATTTGTTCGAGAACCTCTTCTACACCATCGGCATAGTACCTGAATTTGGTTTTTCCTAGATACCCGCCGACTTGCGATTCAACTACCACTGTTACCTCCCCAGGGACTTTTGATGCTGCAAAGAAGTGTAATATTAGCTTGATGGTTTGCTCAGTTGAGGGACAAAAGACTCCAAACTTTGAAAAAGTACTTAAGTTATAAACCAAGAGTTCGTTTACGACAAGTCATAATTATGCCAGGTTGAGAGCCCCTTTTTATGGTAATGCCCATAGTGCTTACTCGCATGAGCCCGAAAACCATATGGGTCCTATGAATAAGTTTCACTACGTTATTTTCATCTTTAATGTTCGCTTCTCTAAAGCGTCAGGTACTCACCCTACACGTAAACATGAAAAAAGGACCGATACCTGCATGCAAGATATTTGAAAGTTTGAAGACAGAGCTTCGGTCAAGTACGACCAAAATTTGTACTGTTCAACAGCAAGAGAGCCTTGACAAAAATATTTATTTTCAAGCGAACGTGTAACGTGAGAAGTACCAAATGGCTGGGTAGAATAACTGTTAAAAAAAAGAGACAGTCAAAGATTTCATGTGGCTACTGGTACAGCACAATTTTTATAGCATTGAAAAGAACTAGAGGTAAAAAAAATGACGCCGGAGGGTAGAACCTTTGTCTCACAAGTAAACAGAAAACTGCCGCATCCTATATATCTATGAGAATATATTGTCTCATTTACCTTCACCCAATAAATAAATGGTAACAAACAATAATATTAATAACACTTTAAAGAGGTTAGGGCTGGCTCGAAAGCCTCATTGTTCCCCAATCCTCTGAGCTCCAATGATGACTTATGCTTCTTTTAATTTCGCCTGTTAATTGTAAATGATTTTCATCTTTTATACTGCAATTCCATTTTCTGAGACATTTGTTTCTTAAAAAAGGGCATTCCGCGTCTTGAGATATCCCGCCATTCCACCGATCCACCTTTGCAACCATTCTGTTCAATAACTCAAGGTACCGCATTTTGCAGCATGCTCGCTTCGCAAATTTAGAGGCTCTTTTAGGCATAAATCGCTGATTCAGACAGCCAAGTGATCTCTTTTCAAAGAAAGAAAAGTTTTGAGATATTCCTGCAAAGGAAAAGAAAAAGTTTTTGATTTGAATCATGCATTGGTGGATGCCAATGTGAAACTATTTTGAGATGTTTATCGTCTTTTGTAGTGTCGCGGCAAGAACTGAGAAGGTCATCTCCTCAGATCTGCATAATTTGCTGATTTAAAGGGTAGAAAGCTCTCTCTTCATAGAAAAAAGTTCCCCCTCAACTTTCGTGATGCACACATCACTCCTTTTAAGATATTTCTCTAAGGATGACGTTTGTTTTAAATCGCCTGCAGTCCTGAAATGATTGTGAGATGTTAATCTTTTTCTGCCGTCGTCCGTAGTCTCATGGAAAGAACTGAAAATGTAATATGCTAGTGCTTATAGGCCAGAAATCGCAAAAGGAGAGAACTCAACTGTGTATCGAGTGCGAATGTCGAACTACTAAGATACTCGGAAAAAGCACTATAAGAGGCACTGGGAAACATCGGGTAAAAATTGGGTCAAGATCGGAATTCTAGTGTCACACTCAATCACTCACTCATCTCGGCAACATATGTGGCTTCGCCTCGCGTCCTATTAGGAGACAGAATCCCACAAAAAACCAAAAAGTTTAGCAGCCAATTCATAAAGGCGTGGCGTGTCTCAATAGTGGTTACGGGACACCTGATGGGTAAACTTGAATCCACTGGATGGATGAATGCTAAGTATGATTCCAACTGAGAAACCAAGCAAGAAAGTTCAGAGTCTGTATTTTCCCCAGCATCTGACTCCGGCACCGAAGGCGCGCAGGTCACTCCCTGCGATTACAAACTGTATGGCAGGCTCGCGTAGAAATAGGGTTTGGGTGGGGGAAGGAGAAGCTAATGCGGGCCCAAAGAGCGATTTGGGATCTAGGTGTTCCCACCGAGGTTGATCTAGAGTATGCAAATTTCAAGACACAACTTTAGGACGCATAAAGAGATTTAACAACATCTTTAAAATTAGCCTGAAGGTTCTCAGGCTACTTACCTGCAGTGGCTAAAAATTTCTGCCCACCATTTATTTGCAGGGTATCACAGAAACAAAACAGGAATTGATTGTTGGAATAGTTTAAGCCAACTTTAAGTTTCTTTTAAAACAAGATAGGGGATCTCTTTTATGACTATTCCTTTGTTCTTATCATTGGGATTGAGGGCCTGTTTACATGGGGGTGGGTTCTGAATGGCACGTCTAGTTAAAATACAAAGTTTATTTGACTTCTTGATTTAACAGGCTGTTTTGGATTCTTCCTTTACATCTTATGAGACCTTTAACGTCTACGTAGAGGTTGAATTGTCGTACGAGAGGTGGGACGGGTGTGTTTTCTGTTGACCTCATGTGACACACTTCGTCCGGAAACGATTGATACTGTATGGACTTGATCCACAGTTCTTCTGCATGTCGAAGTTATTTAGCGTCTAAATCAAGACTTCTCTTTAATCCTGTTCTCCTGAAGAATCGTACAACGTAGGCGGTTACACGTAACAATTTCTTCCAGCTGCCATAGCGGGTTGCATCAATGACTTGGTGAACGCCGATGCGCTGTACTTGCGAGCTCGTCATCAAAGAGTGCGTGTGTAGTGGTCGCCGGATTCTGCACAATTTCTTGCAAGGCGATTTCATTATCCGAATGAACCACATTCTCGTGCGGCTATTCCTTCTCAGGTCTGTGCAGAAATTCAGGGCCCTTCCACCATCTCCTCTCGGCGACTAATTTACTTGCTATCATGCTCCGTGACGGGATATCAGCTGGGTTCTGAGTGCCTGGACAGAAGTTCCATAGCTCCGAAGATGTGTGTTCTCGGATCTCTTACACTCTGCTCACGACGTATTGCTTCCAGGGCTTCAAATTCTTTATCCAACATAATGCAGTCATAGAGTCGACCCAGAACATTGTTTCCAGTCTCTGTGGTAGGGTGGTTTGTAATGTCCTAGCGAGCAAGAATCGTAGCGCCAAGTAATTCAAGCCTGAGAATTCTTTGTTTCTTAAGAGGGGTGACCTTGGTCTTCGAAGCAACTAAGTTCACATCAATGCGTCCATCGTCATAAATGGAGCGAAGATAGACAATGGCAGCGTAAGCCTTGTTGGAAGCGTCGCTGAAACAATGAAGTTCCGCTGATTTCAGACTGCCTGAGGTGTGATCGAAATAACATCTCGGTATGGACACCTTGTTAATAGTTTGAAGCTCGCAAATACGGGAATTCCATTTCTTCACATTCTCGTCGGTTAACTGGTTGTCCCAGTCGGCACGCCCATTGCAAAGTTTTTGAAATAAAATCTTCCATTGAATGGTAAACGGGCTTAACGGTCCAATTGGATCGAATATCTTAGCCGAGATCCTCAACATCGATCGCTTCGTAGCCGGGAGTAACCTTGCTTGTTCAGAGAGATCTGCCAAATCGAACATAAACTGATCGGTAGCTGCATTCCAAATCGAGCCCAACACCTTGACGGTAGTATTGTCGCATGCTTGATTAGAATCAAATGGGTTTCCATTTGTAGTCTTAGCGTAGCATTCGTCCTCTTCGATAACAGGTTTCTTGTTCACCTGTACAATATTCGAGTTCACCTGGACATCAGACCGATTAATTGCTTCCTGCGCAATCCTCGAATTCGTTTTCCATTTTCTTAAGTTAAATCCTCCCCGCTGCATAACTGACTTGGACCTAGCGTACAGTTTCAACGCCTTATCTTCGTTTTCTTCACCAGTGACGAGCTCGTCCACGTACAAAGAATTCTTCAAGAGCTGAATGAAGTCCGGTCTGAACTCCTGTGACACCTGTCCATCTAAATGATGTCGAATTGTCGAAGCTAAAGTAGCTGGTGATGGTCTCAGTCCGAAAACGAGACGGGTGAATCTCAAATGCACAATTTCATAGTTGCGATCATCAGGATCCTTGAGCCACAAGAATCGCAACATGTCTCTGTCTGCTTCGTTGATTCCAACCATTAGAAACCCCTTTTCGATGTCGGCCGTCAGACCAATTTTGTGCCACCGGAATTTAATCAGCATGTCGAATAACTGAGGAGTGAGATTTGGCCCGGTCTGGAGACAATCATTCAAGGAATGAGTACGCTCAGGGGCCTTGGCTGATCCATCATACACGATCCTCAGCTTAGTTGTCTCTCGGTCTCTTCGGACGACGGCGTAGTGTGGTAGATAGTTCACATTTTTGCCTTCTTTCTCGTTTGGTTCCTCCTCGGGGATTTTTTCTACGATTCCTTTGTTCAATTGTTCTTCAATTATTTGATTATATTCCTTGATTAGTTCCGGCTCTCTTAACAATCTTAGTTGGAGTCTGCGGAGGCGTTGAACGCAAAGTTCATAATCACTCGACATAGTTGGGTGATTCTCCTTCCAAGGCAGTTGTACCTCATATCGCTGCCCATTAAAACACACGTTCTCTTCAAAACAATCGACTGACCCGGTAGATTCTGACTCTTCTTTAGTGCCAATGGATTCTGTCTCCCAAAACTGTCTTAAGCTGTCAACGAGAGGATCTTGGGAGTGGTCGCACGAGCTGTTACTGCCCCCGGAAATGATAACGTTTGTGACTGTCGAACCGGTATACGAAACCGACTCTGTGGGGCCCGACAACAGCCATCCAAATTTACTATTGATCGTAGTAGGACCAAAATTTCCACATACTTTTTCCGTTGTCACAAAGTCCTAATAATAATCGGAGCCGATAAGAACATCCACTTGATCTAGCAGTCCACTAGTTGTAATCCGTTTGAGTGCGGGAAACTGCTTACGTCGACGCGAGATGGAAGCGGTGAGCAAATGGTGGGGAAACTGAGAGCGGAAATTTTCGAAACATAGTCGTTGGGGTCATCAAATAGTAAGGTTACCGCGTCGCACTTCTTTTTCCGAAATTTTCGTTCGCCAAACGTGTTTAGGTGAAGGATCTCGGTCTTCCTTGACTTGAGGCCAAGCTCTGACTTCAGACTGTCGGTAACGTTTGAGCGCTGCCTTCCACCATCGAACACTATCTTCACTGTCGTTGACTTCGAGCCATCTTCATTTCTGGCAATGGCAGTGGCGGTTTGCAGTAAGACTGTTCCCTTTGTTGTAGAACTTGCTGTCGTTGTAGTTTCAATTGGCGGTAGGTTCTCTGTAGCGTAACTCACAAGTGTCGAATTTTGCATTTCCTGCGAATTTTGTTTGGTAAGGCCAGGTGATCCAGATTGTTTGGGCATAATTTGGCGGCAGATTGATTGGTGTTAGTTACCATGGCATCGACGACAGTTCTTGTTACATGAGCCACTCTTATGATCGGTTTCTAAAGACACAAAACATCTTCGGTCTCTCTTGAGAATTTCAAAACGGGCTTGTGAATCACTTACACTCTCACAAGAGGCCGAAAAATGGAATCCGCCACAGTAAACACATTTCAGTGGATTTCTTTTTTTGTGGAGTTTCAGACCCATCATGCGAGAATAGGGTTGAATTAGTTGGCCCTCTCATCAGAGTTTCTTTGTTTTTCTCCAAATGTACATTCGCTTTTACACCATCGCTGATCTCTCGAGCCTCGACTTCCTGGCGAATGACCTTTAACAAATCAGACATTTCCCAGACCTCGTGCACGGTACTTCTTGCGACTTGCATTCTGATTTCGGGCGGTAATTTCGACATTATTACTGGGATGAGGAGACTTCCGTACTGGCTAGAACTTACTCCCAAAGAATCTAGACCACGGATATTAATGCTTATTTTATCGTATACAAGCCGAAGCTGGGCGGTGTTTTCATTCACACATACAGGAATTTTGAGAATTTTATCCATGTGTTTAGAAATAATGTTTTGAGGGCTGCCAAAACGTTTACTAAGAATATCCATCGCAGAGTTGTAATTAGCCTCAGTTCTTGGAAGCCCTTGAATTGAACGCGCGACTTGACCTTCTTTCGGTAAGATATTATCGATTTTTTCGGAACCCCCACGATTGAACTAGACGCACTTCATGGTGAGATTTGCGAACAGCTGTATACTTCAAACCACAAACATATGAAAATACATATATATGAACTGCGGTTATGAAACGTATATGTGCACGATCCTTCGCAGTAAAGCACTATTTAAGCAATAGTGAAAATCAGACCTGAAAAAAATTCAGGCCTGTACGGGATTCGAACCACTGACCTCTGCGATGCTAGTGCAGCGCTCTACCAAGTGCAGCGCTCTATCCCGTACAGGCCTGAATTTTTTTCAGGTCTGATTTTCACTATTGCTTAAATAGTGCTTTACTGCGAAGGATCGTGCACATATACGTTTCAAAACATCACAAAAGTTCGATTTGAGACGTAATGTTGCGTCTGTATTGTTGCCTCATGTCGTCGGCAGCAATTATTTGAAAACAATGATTGATGTCAATTTTCAACAATCATTATCTATATCGACATATCATTTAATGTAGGTTATCTTGAAACTCAACTCCGAGGATACTGCGATGCCGTTCGTGGGCGAGATGATATTGAATCCGTGAAGAAAGCACCCTGTATCGGACATTACGAGTCCAAGGGATCCACTAGGATGGCAAATAACGTAACCGAAGCGGGAATTGGTAGTGGCAACACAAAAACCCGAACAGGACTTGGTGTAATACTATGACAAACCTGGGATAGTTGCCACCAAGGAACCATCCTTTAACCTTTCCAGTTCAACTTTGCCTACGTCTTGGAACTCAGCAGATCCAGAGGTAACTTTCATATCTAATACTGGATCGAAAGTGATACGAAAAGGATCTCCGCCCTGCAAGAAAAAAATTAATAGCATGTGCTTCAACTTGAATAGAATAATCGAAAAGTTCAATGAATGCTCTTTTTCGTTTCATCTAATAGGCGTATTAGCCGTTTCAAAAACGAGTGAGGGAGTGGGTCGAATTCGCCGCGCAAGTTTGTCTGGGATCGTTACTCGGGACACAAACCTTTGTTTACTTTAGATTTGTGTCCCGAGTAACGATCCCAGACTAGCTTGCGCTGCGAACTCGACCCACTCCCAAACTCGTTTTTGAAATGGGGAATTACACGCGGATTTTGATTGATTTTTATTACTAATTTCTTTGAGGTCAGACGCATTGATGAGGTCAGACGCATTGATGACGTCGACATTAACAATTTCAATGTTTTGCTTTTTTATGGTATCAGTGACAGACTCGGCTGCGCCTCGAATGCCACCATTTTGTTCTGACCACATTTTGACGTCATTTGTGATGTATTCCGTTCCACAATATCTATTTGTTGAATAACTCCGACTTTGCGTCATAAGTACAGTCCTTTATGCGAACCAATATTTAGAAGTTATCAAAAAAAAGCTTGCCCAATATTACAATCCGGGTATCTTTTATTGTTTTAAAAGTGAAAGAGGGTAGTTGAAACAGTCCAAAGAACATGCATGGCAACAAAACATGAAATCTGGCTTTCTCAACTTTTTGAATATTAAATATTTTAAAATCAACCTCCCAGTTACATGCAAGTGAGCTGTTCTAGTAATTAAGCCCCAATAAAAAAGATTTTACATTGCATGCTCTTTTTATTTATTATTTATGATATATTTATAATTCATTTTTTTGTGTGCTGATAGATGGTCCTCGCTTTTATCTTTTGAAAGTATAAATTTCTTGTTATGTTGTTATGTCAGAATTAAACGTAACAACCTGTGGTCAGCGTGTCGGACTCGCAATCCACCGCCCGCGGGTTCGAGTCTCGCCCTGACCACTACCTGGATTTGTTTCACAGTAGCTCCGAGTTCAAATCCTCGGCCACGCTTGTTAGTAGCCAACTGGTTTGCGTCCGGCCAGTTGGGATTCAATTTAAATTATTCGTTTCAGTTGTTTGCTCAACCCACTAGCACTTGTGAGTTATAGACACTACTGAGGGTAAAATAAAGTTTTTTTATAATTATTACATGGCGCTGCGGCGAATGAAGTTGCCAAAGTTGCATAATTTTTTTATTGCTTTACGGGAGACTTTTCAGTTTTTCGGAGAAAGCGAAGCGCGATAGAATTTTTCTAAAAAGGTTCACTAAAAGAGTCTCTTAGGAAAAATAACGCGAATTGCGAAATTTTGCAACTGTCGGTGGATTAATTCTCGATATTTATATATGGTCATTGGCTCTTGAAGGTTTTCAGTACCTAGTTGGCCAAATTTTTCCAAGTTCTCGCCTGCCTTTCTGTCAGTCCTCTCCATTCCCTATTTACTATTCTCTTCCGTGTTGGCTTGGTTATAATTGGTCATACAATTACCTCTTTGGCGCTAAAGTACTGCTATAACCCGGCAAGAAATCGCTTTGTTCTATTTACCTCTAAAGGACTTGAATTTGGCCTGATATTCACTTTGTGAGGGTAATAGTCTTCTACCCATGTCACTAGAGCCCTCTCATCTACATTGTGACAAAAAGAAAGAGTCAACACAGGTAAATCACAATAGTTCATATTTGGAGATAACTGTGATCATAACATTTGCCTTTGAAATGTTAGTACTAGCCTCCTGATCGGGGCTGAACTGGTTTATCTATGTTTCATTTTCATCATGTTGGTTTCAGGCGTGCGTTTTATTTACCAGATGCTGTTATCAAATTTCTTTATTTTGTGACCCGTAGCCAGCTCTCAAAAGTTGCATGAACAGCACCATCGTTGAATACTGTATATGCGACATAGACGCTATTTAACGATGGCGCTGCCTGGTGTAAGGTTTTTAAAAAGTTCTTTATTCGTGGGCTTCCTATCTTACTTAGACTTCCTACACAAGTGATTCTTATCGCACACATGGCATTTCCTTATCAGAAATTAAGTGTCAATCACACACCTGGCCGAGTCATGATATACTGTGAATATATGCTGACTTGGGGACTCATTAGCGATGACGGAAAATCAAAACACCCTTTTTAAAACCTCAGGAAATCGTAGTCGTTTAGCAAGGGCACCGAAAAGTTACAAACTTCGAGCATCCCAATTATAGACGAAGATTTTCGAGTATAATATCAACGAAATTCGTATTAGCCTTGCAACTGGTGGTAATGATCTTGAATTTTCCAAAAATTGAAAGGAAATGAACTTTCCTCGCTGAAGATCCTCTAGTATCGATGAATGCGAAATTTAAAAAGGAATTAACCATTTGAGCTAACCGCCTCCCGGTTAGCTCAATTGGTTAGAGCGCCGGGTTGTGTTGTGCGGGAGGTCGAGGGTTCGAGCCCCGGCCGGACCAATACTCATGGTCTTAAAATAAGTGAGAAGAATTTGCTATCTTTCTATAATCAAAAAATGGATAAATATTCTAGTCTTCTCGGATAAGGACGAATAAACTGTAGGCCCCGTCTCCTGCAGGGTTAGGGGTAGGAGACGTTGATTTCCCACGCACGAGATTACTGTATGGTGAATGTCCGCCCCTGGGGTGCGATGGGTGGGAATTAGCCCTGAAAAGCCCCCATGGGGAGTGGTCAAGTAACGTATGTATGTATTAAGGATGATTAAAATGAGCTGTTTCTCATGAAATTTTCCCAAAGAAGTAGACAAGTGCCTATAAATAATCTAATTATCCTTTGACTGCCATGAACCGTGGTTGATAAGTTATGATTCTTTTCTTTTTCAGAGGACAAACTTCATTCATTTGGTAAGACAACCTCTAGTTAGGGATGATTTTTTAACATTTGACAAGGTTCGACCGACTTGATTGATATGAAAAAAAAAAGAAGAAATTCATTTATTTCTGCTGTTGCTCATAACTTCCATTACCCATAGAGGCTACAAAAAGTCACACAAGGTAACCATAGAATTGTCCCTGCATGCTCAGAAATTACGGCGAGTGATGATGTAGTGAACATAGCATATCGAAATTCGATTCAGTGTTCTTACGCAAAGTTTGTATTTTTTTTTAAAGGAATTTCCTAACCTTCGGAAATTTCTCCTCCCAATCCACTGGATGAAGACTCGTCTAAGGAGGAAACATATCCATCTGAACTGTCAGATATCTTCGGAAAAAAAAAAAACGGCGTTTGTATGCAAATACCTTATGACGACAAAATTCACCATATTACAAAATGATTTATAGTTATCATAGTGTCCTAAATAAGAAATCACCATTATTTTTATTATAACTACACACAATTTTTTTTTCATTCAAAATCACAAGACAGACTACAGACACAGTCTTGTTACTTTTACCAAACAATTACTATCAAAACAAAATTCCGCCCCTCCCCCGCTAAAAAACATCGCTTAAACGTCGAAACGAGGTGGGCGGGGTTGGCACTCCTCTAATTTTGCTCGAACATATCTGATTGGACAAAGAGTATCGCCAGAAAATTCGAAACAAGGTGGACGGGAAGCTGTCACTCTTCTAATTTTCCAGGACATACCTGATTGGTTCCCACATATTATGTGATCAGAGAGAATGGCGGCGTATTTTCGAAAGGGAGGTGATTTTCATATTAAGCCAAAATATCATGCCACATGAATGTTAACCTCGTTGCAATGCGTTCCCAATACAGAACACCTGATATATTTTCTGCAGTGAGAGTGGGTTTGTTATGAGGAGAACATTTATTCTCTTTCCCTAGTCGCGGAGGGATGGTCACTATGTAGCATTAAACCTAAACATAAACAATAACATAAAATAGACTCTTGAAACCGAGCCGAATTTAGGATAAAAAATAACGAAATCGTGCCCTAAAAGAGGTTGTCGTTGAATTCACCAATCAGGTACAAAGTAGGTACGTAGTGCGTATTTTGAATTCAATTGAATGTCGAGTTTGCACATGCCAAAATCTTCGACTCATATGCATACAATAGGCTGTCGTAAACTAAAGAAATTTTACCAAAGTTGCATGGCCAAACTAAGATTTACATGTTTCAAGCTAGACAAAGTCTCGACTGAAATAACCTTTGAAAAGGTATGGTAATTTCTGCTTAAAGGGTGGCTTTAAGCTTCGAAAAAGTTTTCTGCTACGAATAAACCCTTCCCTATATTCTTTTTCAAATGAGAGAATTAAAGTTTCTGATCTTTCTTTTGTGATTTTGACGAATGTAACCCAAATTTAGCCTTCAGCATGGCTCAGGCAATGATGAACAAATATAGTTATTTTTCAGTACTAGTTGAGAAGCCCATAGAAGCCAGTGTTCAACACCTTGTTCACTGTACGAGCATCGTTAGATTCCTACGGAATAGTTACCTCAAACTGAGGTAAGTCGAGATCTCTTATCATCTCAGCGGGGTGAACCTCAACAAAAACAACTCGAACCCGACGAGTGAGCATTTAAAAGCTTGGTCTAATGAACTCTCGTTTTTTCTTGGAAATTAAATTGGAAATGTGATAGGTGTCAATTAATGTTAGTTTCACAGAGGTGTGTTCTGGATCATATAATTGATAAATCTACCTGTAATAGTTGTTCCCATTGCTGTACGTTGGTATTTTCAATTCGTAAGGCGATGGCCTGAGCTTGATTGGGCACTATTTAGGAAAGTTAGGAAACGTAGGCCAGTCAGTTACATTAAGATATTTTGCCAAAGTTTTGTCACGAAATAACCATGGAATGTTACCTTACTTACCTTGGTTTGTTTCAACAATTTCCATAGGAGATTCATTCACCACTGTCATCTAAAAGGTGCAAGAAGGCAGCGTTACGTTAGTTGAAAGTTGGCATTTAATTCGGCAAAACAGCCGACAAGTTGTTTATATAAAGATGATTTACAATCATCCTACGATACTGAAAAAATACAACCCAAACCATATCTAATTTTATCATACCATATAAATACCATATCTTAAACTGTAACGAAAAATACTTTTCGTCGTGTCTCGAGAATTTGACAAAGCAAAACAATACTGATTCCTCATTAAGAATTCTTTGTCAGTTTATCGAAACAAAGTAATTTTTGTTCACGATTCTGACAAATTCAACCCAAACTGAACGTTCAATATCGCTCAGACGAAAACAAACTAAATAGTTATTTGTCGCAGTGATAGCTGTGGACTCTGTACAGGCCACTGTTCAACACTTTGTTCACAAAAGTAGTGTTAACACTATACGTGCGTTGCTAGATTCCAACATGCAGTAAATTCGATTGAGGTAAGTCGAGATCTCCGATCATCCCAGCAAAGTGAACCCTAAGAATTTCAACTCTACGCGACGACTGACAAAGTAAACTGAGCTTGCTCTGATGAACTCTCTTCCTCTAAAGTCCTGGTGACTTAACGGACCCATAGCCATATCCCACAACCAAGAACTAAGCTCAAAAAGGCAGTCCATTCTTTTTCGTTTCCAGATATTTTATCGCATGAATTTCGAAGCGATTAACACCTTGAATTCGAGTACAGTCACGGCAAGCAAAAACAAAATGAGGCTTTAAGGGATTGGTAACTAATAGTACTTTCGACAAATGGACCCCGATACTCGAGGTAGAGCCTCTGGAGGCATCATTAAGCTTTCAGCTCGTTGTTTTGTAATTGCCAAGATAAAAAATGCTCGTATTTAATGAGCCACAGTTGATCATTTTTCCCCTACACTTGTTTTGTGCCCGTGCCGTTTATCGACTTAACAACGCACATCAGAGGCTTCGTTATTTCTTGAATGCTAAAATTTGAATATGAGAATATCATAAAAGTTGATGGAAGTTTTACTGAGCCGAGTTTTTTCGATAAAATTCCTGAATCTCAGTTGATGTACCTGTTGTTCCCACGGCTGTGCGTTGTTGCTTCCATTTTGCGAGGCGATGGTCTCAGCTTGATCGGGCACTATTTAAAAAAAGTTAGCAAACGTAAGTCCGTTTCATTCAACAACTTCGGTTTAGTCTCCGTCGAGCTGACCATAAAATGATCTCGTAAAACATTGATTGCTATGTTAGACTATCGATGACTTTGAAAATTATCCTAAGCGAATATACATCGCGCGCTAACTAGAATATTATTTGATTTGTTTCATTTGGAATTACCCTCGGCTATCAGTTTAAAACTACACCTTTGTATGATTTCATCGTTTTATGGAACTTACTTACATTGGTTTGTTTCAAATGTTTCCATTCGGGTTTCATTTACCATTGACGACTAAAAGAACAACAAGTCGGCGTTAGTTGAAAATTGACAATTATATGTTTGACAAATATTCCATGAACGCACGTCGGACATGAGATGGCGAATAGCCAACGAGACGCTTTGCGCCGAATTCGCTATAACCAATCTCGTATCCAAAAATCGCGATTGGAATAATTGTGTTATCAATTTTATCAAATCCTGAACATTTGGATATTTGGAGCCTTTTGTCAGCTCCGCAACAGTTAGCGCAATGTATTTCCATACAAAGTGACTTGGAATATGATGTGATAAGCGGAGTTGAGCACTCAGAACACTAAAAATGCACTATTCGAAGTTGAACATTTATTGAATATATATACACCATTAAAAACTCGATCATTGGATAATGCAATTCAAGAGTTTTCATTGGGTTAACCATCATGGGTTATGAGCCGTCATAACAGGCGTGCGCCTGAAGACGAGTTAAACCGAAAGTGTTTTTGTACGTGGTAACATTCCGTTTGTTCTTGCAAAATAAAGTCAGAAATATTTATCTATATTTTGTGGCGTTTATTCCATTCGCACATGTTAAAAAGCGCACTTTAAATTAATAAATTATTATTATTGTTATTATTATTATTATTATTATCATTATAGATGATTATAGCTTATCTTTCATCTCATTTCCGATGTGCGCTCGTGAAATAATTGTTAAATACACATATGAAGGTATAGTCTGATCGTCCGGGTGAGTGTAGTCCTGAGAAGGACTGTTGTCGGTGGTGGTGACTGACGTTTCGACAACCTGTGCGGAAGTCATCATCAGAGTCAAGTGAATGATTGTTGTCAGTAGAATGTTCTTATTCCAGTTCGTGTGAAATGATCGGTTGGTTTTGCCGTGATGTTATTGGCTGTAAGACTCAAGTGACGTAAGTCGGTCGTGATTGGTCTGTTTCGATCTGTCGGTAAAGTTAGGTCGTTCTTTTTCGGTCGTTTGTGATGTTTATGTCGTGAATGAGTCGTTTGTATGGGGCGGGTAGTTGTTGACATCTGTTTAGGGGAGTCTGTTCTAAGTTAGTAAACCAGCTTTCCTGAGTCAGTCGTTGAAAATAGTCAGTGCTGTAGGTTAGGCATTGCGCAGAGTCCCAGTCAATGTTGTGGTTGGTAAGTCGATGGTGTTCAGCAATGTGATTGCTGACATCACCTTTCCTCGTCGCCCGTCTGTGTTCAGTCAGTCTTATTGTGAGGTTTCTATTTTGTAGATTCAATTTGTAGAGACATTAAAAATGCTGGAAAGTACAAAAAAGTCCACAAAATATGCTGTCCACGCACGATACGAAAATTGATGGGAGGTTTATTCAAGAAATAGGCCCGCTCCTGGCCTGCTGGTCTGTCGCCTGATAATGTTCTTGCATGGCTGAGAGATTGTCCTGAAAATTTCCCATTTGCCCTCGAAGCCTCGCTTGTTGGCCAAATACTGATTTTTCGGACAATATCTCAGCCGCTGACATTATCAGCCGACATACCAGCCGCCTAAAGAGGTTTATTTACTAAAGAGCAAAACAAAAACCTCGACGATACTTTAGCACCCGTAAAAATTTATGAAGAAAATGAAGTAGCCTATCAGAATTTCAATCAGTTGTAATGTAATGACTATCCATAAGTATATACGTATAAAACCCATAGTCCATCAAAGGCACCTCCTTGACTATGTTGTCCTACTGATCTGCTTAAATACCTAAACTAAGGCGACAAAAACTTGTCCTAAGTCCTCTATGAGGGGAGATGAACATTTTGGAACTAGATGTGAAGGGGAAATATGCCAAAGAATTAGCAAATCTTTAAATTATGGAAATTGTTGTATCCAAAAAGACAAACGGAGGTTTTGGTCTTCATAGGGAAAAGTAAAACAATTAAGTAATGCTTACTGAAAAATACTACAAAATGCTTCATATCATTTCTATGGGTTTGTGTCTCAGTAAATGTGGTCCTCAGTACTGAAAATTTCAAAAAATTTAAAACGATGCAAGTAAGGCCCGATTAACTCTTTACATAACGAAAGCGAAGCATTCCGCGGCTTTTGCAACTTGATTTTCATGGTTGAAATGGGACTTTTATTATTTCTAAAAGAATGTTACAACTTGTGACGAAATTTTCCAGTGTCCGTATTCCTTGAACTGTGGTTTGAGATACAAAAGGGAATTAAAAAACGTTCACAATAAAGATAAGTCTTATAGACACCCATCCAACTACAAACGCCTCTCTAGAAAGGCTTAATTTCAGTTATGGACATATGAAAAAAGAATCACCTGGAACCTCAATTTACGAAGCTCGATGAGATGAATAAAAACTGGCATAGCAAGTTGTGTAAAGAGACACAAACCTGATCATCCTCTAAAAGAACGTAAAGAGCTGAATTTCCCCTCACGTGCCTTCTAATTGTCTTTCCATCCCAGACACGGGGCTCACCATGAAACTTAAATGCAAGGCTATCATGACCATAAGATGCACAATAAAACCTAGACATGCATGTAAGAAAATGCAAATCAATATGGAGACAAAGGTTTCCAATTATTAGACCAATGATTCCACAGGTAAAAATTTTTTGTTTTGTTTTGTTTTGTTTTGTTTTACATTTATTTGCTGCAATTGTACTGGCATTCACGAAAAAAAGAAACTCGTCTATCCCACCGTGTGTGAAATTTCCTATGAAAATGTGATGAGGGAATTTAACAATAATGGTTCACAACATGACAAGAGAAATTTGGTCTGATTCTTAAGAGCAAAAAGCCAAATGGCAATCCATACGAAAAATTTCTTCAATCTTATTCAAACGCACATGGCTTCTTGGTAACCCACAGGTAGACTGGTAGATATTAGTTTTCGTCTTGAATTTCGACAACCAATCTACATCTTTTGAGAAATTAGATATATTTCATCTCATTTGCCTAGATAAAAGCTCTCATGTGTTCCTAGCTTCCCCTTCCTCTTTTCTTTAAAGTCTCGTGAGCAGTTTCACAATATACTTTAGCTGTCCTCCAAATATTTCAGTCGTCCATGATTGAATTTACTCTATATGAGCGTTTATTGGCCCACGCAGTAGAAGTATTTTATCGACCCACAATCAGAGCGTGTGTTGTATGTCTTGTATCGGCCGTAAGCATCAGTCATATCATAATAATGATATCCTGTCTACTTTCTTACGTGAAGGAACTCTTTCGGATCTTTCCTTCCATTCATTTGCAAATTAAATCATTCATCAACTTTGCTTTTTCAAATTCAAAAACCAGTTATCACTTCCGAAACACTTAAAACCATAAATAAATTCAGCACTTCCTTATAATGAAGGCAAATTATCCGTAGCTTTACAAAAAGAAAAAATCCTCGTCTATCACTTAACTTCGTTGATTTGTCAGAAATGAGGCCTGAGCAAGTTAAACATGAATGCGTTTGGTTTCTGAACATGATCAGCAGAGTCAGTGTGTAACTGAACAGAATCATTTTGGGCCCAAATTATGGTACAAAGACAAGGTGTGATTTCTATGAATTATGGGAGGAAAATTGCCATCTCACCTTCCACTCAGGTCGAATGAGGAGAATGTTTCTTGTAGTTTTTGCCTCACCATTAAGTCTGACATACTTATAGAAAACTCGACATTTCTTTTGTACTGTCCAGTCTCTAACTTTTTCAGTTTTGCAATGTCTATGGTATTCGGCATCAAAAATTTGCCATCTTTTGCACATTCGCTACTCTTAAGTAGCGTGACATTTTTAGAAAATATCAAGCTTCCTTGAGATCTCTTGGCCATTCCACTAGCTGAATGTTTCGTCAGTTGCTCGAAAGGATGATCTCTGCAACAAATATTCAATTCAAGCTTAGTAAGCTTTCAGTAACACGATAAAGATATAAAACTTCCACACCTAATGTTGATAAAATGAAACTTTCCATCATCATTACTAAAAGCAATACTACAATGATAACTTTACCCCTCCTCCCTCCCCCCCCTGATAACCATCTTATTCACCCATTGAAACGTTTCCAGTAACTCACTGACAATAACTTGATGCAGTGGCCTTAGCTTGGCAAATCAAAAATAGACCGGACCAATAAAAAAAATCTGCAACATCTTCATAAGAAAAAACAGCATCATAACCCTAAGGTAACAATACAAGCCTCATCGTCCCCTTAATTCTGAACGACATTCCTTCACTTTTTGCTATTCCCTGACCCTATATCATCCGGTATATGTTAAGCGTAAAAATGTAATTCAGGTTAATATGATTTTTATCTGTGGGTTGGCTTGTATTTTTCTTTTTTCAGAATTTTGACAAATCATTTGAGGCATAAGAAAACATGACCCAAACCAGGTTAAAACTATTTTAACATAAGTTCATTTCGAAGTACAGCATTATTGGATATTGTATGGACTTCAGCGGGTAGGAACGGAAAGAGAAGAAAAAAAGGCATTGATCGTGCAACTGTTTATTAACTTTTTTTCAGTTTGTAATCACGTTTGTATCACCAGCTCGGCTAAAACCGTACAAAGAGGCTATTAATGACCTAGAGGAAATTAATTTTCATAAGTAACTTTCCAGTGCTAGGGTAACAATAGAGTGTATATTTGGCATATTAAAGGAGCGTTGGAGAATTCTCCAAAAACGGCTTGATAGCAAGAATAAAGGCTGATAGTTTCTAAAGAAAGTGTTTGGGGCTGCGTCGGTGGGGGTAACGAAATAATTTGGATATATCAACAAAGTTGAAATGGTAAATTGGCCACCCTAACGATTACAAAAGCTGACGTTTCGAGCATTAGCCCTTCGTCGAAGCGATAGCAACGTATACCCTTGATGTATCAGACAATCGTTGCATGTTGTGTTCTACACAATTTTTGCAATGATGCTGGAGATTTATGAGATTACGATGATGATACAAATGATGAGGATTCTCCAGTATTCGAGATGAAAATGCTGATTGTGCAGATTTGAGAGATTTTTTTAAAAGAGTGTCTATGAAATTTGTATGGGAAGTTTTCAATAATTGATTTTCGAAAAATACAGTTCCAGTTTCTCAATTTATACAATAACATCTTTTAATTGATTAAAAATATCTTTAAGAATGAAGTTGTTTAATCAATGGAGATTCGTGTACCAGTTTAACATTACATGGGATGAATCAACAGAAATCATGCATTTACTGTAATAATGAACAATTCAGTGTGATAAAAATAGCGAATTAACTTCATATAATAACACTAGTTCCTGATCAAGGAACTTCAAAAAAAATATGAAAATTAAAATATGAAAATTTCACATGTGAAGGCTAATATGAAGCAATTGTAATAATGATAATATGAATAAAGAATGAAACTCGCTTTAATCGCTACCTTCTTGTCCGCTCTATCTGTTCTCCACGGGTACAAAAACAAATGTTCTTTTGATTACCTGAAGGCTACACCGAAATAATGATTTAAGAGCTATTTATCATTTTTCGAGAAATTGCCCGTGTAAAAGCGTTCATGAATTGGTTTATAAGCTGCAGTTGTAACACTTGGTTTTTCTCCATGGCTCTTAAGAGTTTCCATGATTTCACGGAAAAGAGCTGATTCTTCTTCATCACTTTCCTTCTACGTTGCTTTGGACGTTTTGACGCGCTTCCTCTCATCCTTCAGTCGACTCAACGCGGGGAAGTGATTGACCCGGATTCTTCGGCGTGACTGAAGGTCACGATATCTCTCACCCTGTCTGGTACTCTTCCTTTCCCTCTCAATCCGAATACTGCTAAAGACTGCTCAAACTGTTTATCCAGACTGGCTTCGTCCTCGTCCTCGTCCTCGTCCTCGTCCTCGTCCTCGTCCTCGTCCTCGTCCTCGTCCTCGTCAACGTCCTCGTCCTTTTTTTCGTCGCTTCTCGACGAATCGGAAGAACGCGGGGAAGTGATTGACCCGGATTCTTCGGCGTGACTGAAGGTCACGATATCTCTTTCACCCTGTCTGGTTACGATTATTATCCTTCGCCTCTTTGTATCGATCTTTGAGATATCATATTTACCACTAGCACTGGGCGCTTGTGACATTTTGAATTTTTGATATTTCTTTGGCGATTTCTTTCCGGGTGTTACGAAAACTAAGACCCTCGAAAACGAAGACCTAAGACCTAAGACCCGTCTTAGTTTTCGAGATTATGAAAACTGAAGACCCCCTAAAATCGAATCCGTTGTAATATAAAGTAAAATTGTAACCAAAAAAGGTCTAATCTGTCAAATTATGTCCTGTCCTATCCTTTTCACCGAGTTTTAGGTCAAATCTAACGGTAAATTTAGGGGTCTTAGTTTTCGTAATCTCGAAAACTAAGACCCCTCTTAGTATTCGAAAACTAAGACCCCCACCAAACCATTCTGTAAAATGTCGACAAAGTCGAATTACGACCGTGGACATTATATTAAGAACCCACAGAAAGCTCATATTCGATCAATCGAGCAAAAACACTGCTGTACTTGCAATATGGGAAAGTGCTAACATCGCTTTTATTTGTTTCCGAATAAAGGAGTTAATCATCGACACCTCAGTGAAATCGAGACCAGGTATTCCTTGGGACCGGCCCCAAGGTTTGCTTTCCAATTTGTCCTGCCCGCTGCCGATCAACTCTTGCGTAAAAACTTACGAAACCTGTGCAGTGGAACTAGGGTGGCTACTATTGCTTGCCGATATTATCCGTCGGAAAAACGTAGAAGTCAGTCAGTAAATGCGACCGATTCTGCCAGGGAAATTTTATTGTCTGGAGCTTGGACTTGTCAGTAGAGTTTCCTTGACAGCTGGATTACACCCCATGTTGTGAAATCATTTATGAAGACATCGAGTTTTTTCTTCGCTTTTTTGTCACATTTCTTCGCTTCGTGATGTTACAGTAACACGGGAAATCTAACCGGATTTATTATCGAACATGAGCTTTCTGTGGACTCTTAATTTAATGTCCACGCGCAATCCGCCAAAACCTAGCGCGTGTGCATAAGTTATTCTGCACTGTCACAGGTAACGCAATCTCGATCGCAGAGACACGTAAAATAACATCCATCTCCAATGGAAAGCCAATTTTATGATTTAAAGGATAAACAACAAAATGAAAGGTCAATTGGGGTAAGGCACATTTTCAGTGTACAGTTATACGTGGGTAGTGTATGGCTTTCATCGTCTTTATGAAGCCACAATACGGAAAGTATATGTCTGAAATTGTTATAAGAAGCGGATCGTCTAGCAGGCGTACGATTGTAGCTTTTGGTTGTTTTACGGATCATAGTCTTTGAATGGTCGTAATTCGACTTTGTAGACATTTTATAGTCTGATTTGGTGGGGGGTCTTAGTTTTCGTAATTACGATAACTAAGAGGGGTCTTAGTTTTCGAGGTTACGAAAACTAAAAACTCTTTAGGGGTTGCTATAATGCGAGCCTGCGAGCCCGAGCCTATTATGACGAGCCGAAGCCATTTTTTGCGAGCCCCGGGAAAATAACATCCAAATCTGGACATAATGCCTTTTTATGGTCATAGTCCCAGGCGTTCCTTGTTCAAACCGCGGAAACTTAGAATGAGAGTGCGACAACTTGTCTTATCATGTGCTCACTGATTGTAAACAACACAATTTTCGAAATGTTGTGTTTTGCGAAGATTGCACAGCAAAGATTCCTGTCTTATACGCTGTTCTCGCAATGACAATAACTTTATTTATACTTGAATTTAAGATAGCAAGTACATGTTAATATCTCCAAGTTAAATTATCTAAATTTAAAATATTTAAAATTAATTGAATTACTAACTATCTAAATACTCTCTATATAAAAATATAATTCTAAAGCAAAGGATATTAAATCATAATTTCTAAATAAGATAAAAACTAAGTAAAATTTATTCTACAGGTCGAATTTCAATTTAGAAATTTCGGCTTTAAATTGACTTAATTCGTGTGGCAGTCTTATGTTATTGGGAAGAGATTTCCATAGCTTACTACCCTGATAGGCCAATGAGTGGAGGCCATAGCTAGTGGTATTAACCCTGGGTACCATAAGAATATTATCCCCCCTCGGATTAATCTTGCAGTTGCGTAAAGTGAATAACCTAGAAATATATTCTAGAACCAACCTATGCAAAGCTTTAAATACCAATGTTAAAATATTATGAATTCTTCTATTAAACAAAGTGGGATGGTTGATACGCAATAATAATTCCTCATACAAGCTTTTATCATCATTGTAAATAAAGCGCAACGCACGTTCATTAAGTTGTTCCAATTTGTTGGGATTACCCTTTCCGCAATGATGCTATACAACAGAACAATAATTTAAATGAGGCAAAAGATAAGCATTATATAACTTAACCTTGGCATGGCTGTTAATTAATTTCTTATGTCTTTGTAAAACTTGAATTTGCTTGCTAACTTTCCGTGCTATGTTACCTATATGTTCATTAAACTTT